CGCAGGCTGGCTCTGGCCGGCCTGTACGGGTCCTGACTCATGCCATGGTTGGAATTCTTGGACAGGATCCTGACGCACTTTGTTTCTGATAACAATTAAATGTGCTGACACACGCACCGTTTGCCAAGCGCTCGTAAATGCCAAACGGCAGGACAGGATATTTTTTTTTCCCTCGCAGACTTTGCCCTCTTCTCCCAGCTCTGTGGGTAATGTACAGTATCTGTCTGCCTGAGCGAGTGTGTTTGTTTTTCTACACTTCCAGGACTGAAATGTCCTGACGTTGTAAAACCAGCCAAAACAGGACCTGCAGGACCAGCTTTTTATTCAAGCTGTGTGTTGGATGACTTAAAACTGAAAGAGCAGAAAGATTAGGATCAGGGTTAGGGTTAGTTACAGACTTGGTCTTATAGCAAAACCTGCAAAAGGGTAACTTTACAGGAGGAAGAGAAAAGCTGCTTAACTTTTAATGGACGTCAATGCAAAAATGAATTATTCCAGACCATTTTGGGCCGTTTCTGTTTGTCCGTTCAACGTGAAATATTGGCGCAGTGTAAAGAGCAGCTGGCGACTTCGAATTACGTCACAAAACAGCAAAAAACATCTGATCAACAGATAATCAGAAGCCTCAGCGACTAAATCTAATCTCAGCTGTTTGAGTGTTCAGTGTGTCACTCTTCACCTTTATTACAGATTCCATTCGTTTCAGGAGACTCACTTTCAGTTTCTCAAGTAAATCTGCAGACACACCTCCAAAGTTCAGTCTTAGAAGCTGGTTGATCGTTTTCTGAAGTAATCAAACACATTCAGTGGTGTTGAGGTCTGGACTCTGGGGTGGTCAGTCCATCGTTCAGCTTCTTTGTTTGATGTGTCCGTCTCCTTTTCTCAGTGAGGTTCTTCTTGACAGCTACACATCCTTTCAGACCCACAGCGCTGAGTCGTCTTCTCACAGTGGAAGGATGGACAGAAACACCTGTGGATGTTTTCAGATCTGAAGCAGCTTGATTTTCTCCTCTCTCTCAGAGATGAAAGCTTTAAGCGCTGTTTATCTGATGGGGCAGTTTTGGGGGCTACCAGGTCTTCCAGGTGGTTGTTAGGAACTCCAGTTTTCACTTTAACTTTCTCCTTCCTTGTGCAAGTGGATTAGATTATGTCTGCTCAGAAAAATCAGTAGCTTATACTTCATGGCTGTTTTACTGCAGTCAGAAGAAAACGTCGTATCTCCAAAATGGTAACTTTACAGGAGAAGGAAAAAACACACTTCACTTTTAATGTAAGTCAATGGAACCAGAATTTTTTCCAAGTCATTTTTGGCCATTTCTTTTAGTTCGTTCATCATGAAATTTTTTACACAATGTAAAGGGCAACAGGTTCTTTCAAATTATGTCAAAAACTGAAAAACGAAAAAAATGGAGCTGCAAGGTTTTGTTATATGGGGTATAGGTGTTGCGTCACGTCCTGACACTGTATGAAAACAGACCTGTGAGTGTGTGTGTGCGCCGTGTTGACTTTTCAGGAGGAGTCTGTCGAGGCTGGTGTGTCTACACATCCTCAGTGACGTAACTGATGAGGATGAAAGATGAGGCGGGTTTGTGGTGGTTGCTACTGTATGAAAAGGGCAGGAAAAGGCCGCAGCTTTACATTAGCTTTATGTTCGCTTCTCAATCTGCGTTTGTTCGTCACTGACGGAAGCAGAAGGGGAAACTTTTGCATGCAGACTGATACGGTGCGACTCCGAGGAGACGGAAAAAGTGAAATGTACACAGGCTAATATAGCGAACATGTAAGGTTATCTACATTAGCCTGTGTACACATGTCCCACCAATTAGCATCGCTGCCTGATCGTATGCCTGACCAAATTCAGGCTTCGGGATGACCACAACTGTTCTTAGCTATATATGTACTTTAGTCCATGTTTACAGATAAGTGTGTCATATTTGTCGGAAACCACACAATGAAGTCTATTAGAGATTACTTCAAGGGGAATTCCACCGATTTTTCCAAAATTTCTGCATAATTCAGTGGTTCAGAGACAGTCATTCGGAGTGGTTTGGTGTGAAATGGTTCATTATAGAGACTCAGGTTTCTTTACAGTGGTGGTCATAGGAACCAATAAATCTGGAGAGAAAAAAAAATGTAGGGACTATTCTGCCTCAGAACGCCCTGCATGGATTGGAGAAATATGTATTTTAGCTCAAAATCCTCTCAAAACTACCATAAAACAGTGTCTCAGTCATCAGGCAGTGAATTCATAACCATTTCATGTAGTAACTTTCTGTGAGGGAGCTTTGAGGTGGACGTCTGGTTCCTATCACCACCACTGTGATGTTTTTCTAAAACAGAGCATTTCACACCAAACACACTTTTAACGACTCTGTTTACATTGTAATGATTGAATAATGCACAAATTTTGTGAAATTTGGTGGCATTGTCCTTTGATGGCTTGAGGCAAGCGTGCTGATTGTTGTACACATTCTTCCATTACTTTATAGTAGCTATGTTAGCTTCAGTGCTAAACATCAGACACCAAACATGTCCTGGCTGATTGAGTGTGTTTGGAGTGAAGGGGGTGAAAACTGGAAATTTGGTGTTTTGCTGAACTTTCACTTTAAATGAAAGCTGCTGGACTTCAGCCTTGTGCCATCAGACCTCATTCCAGCACAGAAGCTCTGCTTTCACATGCCTTTACCCACTTCCTCTATATCAGAAACCCCTCTCTTGTAGCTCTACCGTGCTGGAGGAAAGCAGCGGTCCTGTGGTCAGAAACTGACCGGTGCCGAATGGATTAGAGAGGGATTATAAATTATACAGCAACAGTCTGTAACTGTGTACTTACATAGTAGAGATACAAGGTAGGTGTTTCTAATAAAGTGGCCAGTGAGTGGAAATACAAGGTAGGCGTTTCTAATAAAGAGGCCAGTTAGTGGAAACACAAGGTGGGTGTTTCTAATAAAGTGGCCAGTGAGTGGAAATACAAGGTAGGCATTTCTAATAAAGAGGCCAGTTAGTGGAAACACAAGGTGGGTGTTTCTAATAAAGTGGCCAGTGGGTGGAAGCACAAGATAGGCGTTTCTAATAAAGTGGCCAGTGAGAGTATAAACTGTAGAAAGCTCAGTATTCAGTAATAATAAAAAAACAAAGTATTGCTCAACCGTGGTCAGTAGACAGCGTGACAGTGGTGGTCACTTCCTGGTGAAGTCACCAGCCCTGTGATCTGCAGCAAAACACACAAATATTATTGTTTATTTGGCTTCAGATGTGGAAGTTGTGAAATGTGTGTTTGTGTGTTTATTAATAGGGCGTAGGTTATTATGATAATCAGGCCCATAGTGTGTCAGTTGTTGCCGTTTGTTCTTCGTCTTTGTTCTGTTTTGGAATTTTTTGGACTCTCTTATTCCGGATCGTTTCAGCGCAGTACATTTTCTTCCCGTGATCCGTGATGAACAGGCCTGTGTTGCTAAGCAGGGCCAGATTATGTTGTCGTAGTGAATAAAGCGCAGTGACCGAAGCCCCTGTGTGTAGTCTTAGTGTAGTTTGGCCCACTTTTACATTCTTTACTACCTTCTGTTTGCTGTTTGCTCTCAGATTGACGGCGCAGGCATTCTGGGTAATGATGGGAAGCGATCTTTGTTGAGCTACGATTGGTGCAATACGATGAGCGTTCACTCACACGCAGTCGCACACTGGGGATTGTGCAAGAGGCGGCGTTTGGCGGATGGTGGATGTGCTGGTTGCGCGGGTTCTAGCCTGGGGCAGGTCTCCCAGTGCGCTGGAACAGAAGATTGGACCAACACAATAGCAGTGTTTTCCTACAGTCACGCTCACTTTAAACAAATCAGCTTTACAGTAACACATCTGCATCTTTCCCTTTGTGCTGGAGGTCAGTGTAGCTAACCAGTAATGGACGCTTATAGTCCACCATTTATCATCACACACTCCTCAAACTGTGTGGAGCTGTTCAGTGTCTCTAATAGACGTGTTGATGTGGTTTCTGACTCACTGTTGTCTATAAACATGGACTGAATAGCGTTAGTGTTAGATATAGATCGGAGTTGTTTATTTTGCACATAATTTCCAGAAAAAATGGACCATAGAATTTTTGAATGCCACTATTTTAAAGAATTTTGGAAAGAATTATCCAAATATTCTTCTGATAAATTTGGATACAATAAAGATATCAAACCTAAAGGTGTGATTTCTGGTTTAGCGTCTTCTTGTGATCCTTTTTGGGAAATATTGCTTACATGAGACAAAATTTGGTAAATCTAGGCCTCGCCTCAGTAATTTCTTAGTTGAATTTAATTCATTAATTTATTAAAATTAGATTAATTTAGGGAAAAAATCAATCATGTGTTGAGTCTCCTAAATATCTTAGCCATAGAAAAGCTAATAGGTGTATAAAGGATTGAAGTCTGCTGGAAGAATGAAAGTGTTGTCATTGTAGTTTTTGTTTTACTTTATTTTATCCTTTTTGTGTGATTAGTAGTTTAGGTGTGTAGGGGGGGTGTGTGTGTGTGGGGGGGTGTCATTCTACAGAAACGTCCATTTTTGTGTCCTTAGTTTTTTATATTACACTTAAAAAACATGTTAGTTACAGTTTTTTATATTTTAAAATAAAACAATGTTATTTTAACAATTACACCTCCTTGATCCATCGGTTTAGTTGTTCAGTATCCACTATGACTCGTTCAGTATCCACTATGACTCGTTCAGTATCCACTATGACTCGTTCAGTTTGCGTTTTGAATTGTTCAGTATGTGAATCCTGAAGCCGGTGTGTTAGTTCAGTAGCTGAGTGTGAGGTGCTGAACCCTCAGACTGACTCTTAGAGTTTAAGTGGTTACAGAAAAATCAGATAAGTGACCGTTAGAATTGTGGGTTGTGTGAAAGTATCACCAGTTATTATTTTTGAAACATCTGGTTTGATGTTCGTTCTCTCTCTCTCTCTCTCTCTCTCTCTCTCTCTCTCTCTCTCTCTCTCTCTCTCTCTCTCTCTCTCTCAGGCGGAGGAGGAAAGCGGAAGGGAAGGAGTAAGAAATGGAGGGAGATCCTGCGCTTCCCCCACATCAGCCAGTGCATGGAGCTGAGCAGGAGCATCGGTACTGAAACATCATTACTCACTCGCCCACACACACACACACACACACACTCTCTCTCTCAGACGCTCACACACACACTCTCTCTCACACTCTCACACACACACTCACTCACTCACACACACTCACAAACACACACACACACACACACACACACACTCTGTCTCTCAGACGCTCACACACACACACTCACACACACTCACACACACTCACAAACACACACACACTCACACACACTCACAAACACACACACACTCACACACACTCTTGCACACACACTCTCTCACACTCACAACACACACTTGCACACACACTCTCTCTCTCTCTCACACTCACTCACTCACTCACTCACTCAACATCTACACTGTTACACGCTGTCTCTGTGTTCTGTTACTAAGAGTGGGCGGATTCTTCCTCCTGAAGTTACCACTGAAGTGAGTGTAGCTTGGGCTCGGGACAGGAAACGATTGTCTGTCACTTTCTATGATAATACTATTATTTATTTATATATACACACGTGTTTGTGTGTGTGTCTGTGTGTGTGTGTGTGTGTATATATATATATATATATATATACACTATAATAGTATAATAACAGTAACTGGAAATACATGGGGCATCACTGTGGAAACGGGAATGTCCTAACTATGGAAACGGGAATGTCCTAACAATGAAAACAGGAATGTCATAACTATGGAAATGGGAATGTCATAAATATGGAAATGGGAATGTCCTAACTATGGAAAACGGAATTTTGGAAATGGGGATGTTGTAACTCTAGAAATGGGAATGTGATGACCATGCTAATGGGAAGGGCGTGACCGTGGCAATGGGCAGGACAGACCTATGTAAGAAGAAAGAACTATAGAACCGCTGTGCAGCTCCTGCAGCCGCCTGCGCCAGTTACCCTTTTCTTTCAGTACAGTCGATGTGCTCCGCAGCTCATCGGCTCTCTTTAGCTTATCATGACGGCAGGAGGTCACAGGTGGGACTTATTCTCAAATATAGACCGGACCAGGCCTCTGTACGTCATAGAGACCTGGAATTGACTTAGAAATCTGGCGTTTACTGCGGTTATGAATAACGCTCATTTTCAATCTTTGCAAATTAATGTGTTTTTTGTTTTGTTTTGTTTTTTTTGGAAAAAATATACAAATATTTGATAAACAAGGAGAAAATTCAAATTTGATTTGTGGTCCCATTTCCTGCTGCGTGTTGCCCACATGTGCTAACTCGTAATCGAACCTTCCACACTTCGACATGTCCGTCAGCTCCATGTTTCACGGCGCTCTTTATGTCCTGTGTCTGTGTTGCAGAGAGGGATTATTACAGCCTGTGTGAGAAGCAGCCCATAGGACGACTGCTGTTCCGCCTCTACTGTGAGACCAGACCAGAGCTGCTGAGATGCATTCATCTGCTGGACGCCATGGTACGACATCCGCACCCCTCACTGCAGCTGATGCTCAGCGCTCCAGATCACAGAGCCTGAGTATGAGCTGTTTAACTGATACATCTGAACCCCTCCCCCTGCTTCGAGCCCCTCACGCTGTGATTTGTAATTTCCTGTCAGCCATTTCCTCTTTTAAAAATACGTGCCCACCCAAAAGAAGGTGGTCCTTCCTCTGATTCTGATTTCCAGCTTGCCAGGTTCCAGGAAAAACCTGCAGTCACCTCATTTAAAGCTAAGGGCCTTTCGAACTTCAGCTGAACTCCATGGGCGGGGCTTCGGGACTGAGCCACTGTCTGTGTTAAGACTACAGCCTTGAAGAAACAGCTTGGCAAGAAATCATATTTACACAGCCCCCCGTGCTTCTTTAGGCTTAGCTACGTGGCAAATGCAGCTAAGTAATACAAGTTTGCTGATTTGTATTAGTGAACTGCAAAGACGTTGGTGGTTTCTGACTCTGTATGACACACTGTTGTCTATAAACGTGGTCAAAAGTACATTACATAGAAAAAATATTAGAAAAAAATCAACTTAGATCATGTTTTCTGTCTTCTTTACAGTGGAGGACAGTAACGAAGTAAATGTAATTCGTTTCTGTACTGAAGTATTTTTTCCTGTATCTGTACTTTACTGAAGTTTTTCCATTTTGGTCGACTTTTTACTTTCACTCCACTACATTTCAAAGTCAGATATCTCACTTTTTACTCCACTACATTATGAGAAATCTGTCGTTCCTTTTGGTTTATGTGTGTATAAAAACGTAACATGTCGAAACGAAAGAAGCATAAAGCAAGAACACCAATCAGGGCACAGCGGTCACTTTGTTTAGAGCTTGTTTTGACCTGTTGGTCATACCGACCCAGTGCAGCACCGTAAAAAAAAAATGAACTAACCTAACTTTGTGTAAATAGACCACAATCCCCCCGTCCCACCCATCCTTCTGTGGTGTTGATATGCAGAGTATGGTTCTATATCACACGAAAAAGTGTTCTGCTATTGTTTACGATGTCAAGCTTTTTGGCGCTACATAGAACCATTTTCAAAAAGGTGCTATGTAGAACCATATACAACACATTTTCCATTGATCTGAATAACTATTTCACTATGCAGAAAACCATTTTAGCATGCACATGAGTGTTCATGGTTCTATGTAGAACCCTTGAAGAACCGTCTTTTCAAGAATGTAAGTGCAGATAAGTTACTCATCCTCCGCAGAGAACACACTCCTGCCCATAAAACCAAACTCTGTGTATTTTCATACTAATAACAGTGACGTTAACGTCTCCTGAGTAACTCAGAGATGTTCTGGCGTTCGGTTCTTCTTCTTTGCTGCTTTACAGTAAAAAAAGTGCTGCATTGAATTGAAAAGTACATTTTATAGTAAGTTTGTTTTGGCTAGTTTATGTTTATGAACAGAGACCTACAGATGCAGTTTAGTAAAGGAAACTCATTTGTGAATCTGAGTTTAAAGTTTTTATTAATCTTAAACTTGTAACTAAGTTTAACTAAATCTTAAACTGAAACGTTGCTAGTTTGTAAAAAGTGATTTCAGAGCCACTCAGTTCTACCTGATGGAAACTGTTTGCCTTCAGTGTTTTGTGCTTATGATAATTTTAATAGACATCAGCGTCACTAATTAATGACTCTATTAAAAGACTGGTTTACCAAGAGAGACACTGGAGTATTTTCATGATAATAGGACATCAGAGCCATAATTAATCTTTCACTTTTGATACTTTTGTATCATTTGAAGGCAAATACTTCTGTACTTTTACTCAAGTGGAGGTCTAAAGGGAGGAACTTCTACTTTTACTGGAGTAATATTTTACCTTGGGTATCTCTACTTTAACTTCTACTTTCACTGCTTACTTTAGTCCATGTTTATAGATAAAAGTGAGTCATAGTGTCAGAAACCACACAATCCAGTCTGTTAGACATACTGAACTCCTCCACACGCTTTGAAGCAGATGTGTGATCATTTAGGCCTGGAGTTAGCACCATGCTAATTGGTGTAGTTAAGCTTCCTTTACTTCCAAGCCTGGCTTTACACGGTGAAATTTTTGTGCAACTAGTTGCAGGTTAGGAGTTGCATGCAATGTAGCTTCAATGCAACTTGACAGCGACACAAAGCAATTCCAAAATAATCAAAGTTGCGTGCAACATGTACAGTCACGACACTAGTTAGCCAAATTAGCAGCTCGTACTTTTTGGTATACCACATCTTTCTCACTTAATTTAGTCCCCTGCATGGTGTTATTTACATATTCACCTTATTTTTATATCCTCTGCTAAAAATGGACAAAATGGAGATTTTCTTTGGACAGCGACGATATCTGTCTTTTACCTCTCTGTGGTTCTTTACTAGAGTTTTGAGTTATTAAATGTGTAAAATTAGGCGGCAAGAGAGGAGAAAATGAGTCCAGCTACGTCGGCTAAAGAAGCAGCCCTTTAAACAGCTGTTAGCGTCGGCTGGCCAGTTATACCAGCTGCTTATAGAAACGTGAGTTTCGGGAAACTCGTGTTTGTTGTCACGGCTCAGGAAACTTTTTGGCCGCCCAGTAAATCTGTTTTTGTTGCTTGTCCGTTGATCCGGTGGAATCAGTTGTTTGGCTTGATGTTGATCGGTATGATCACACGGCGCATTATCAGTGTGTTGGCTGGCTGTTTCAGGAAACCTGTCCACTGCAATTGTTGCAGGATGCTTTAGTTGCATGTTGGTTTCATGCAACTTAAGCTACATATAAGTCTCATTATTTGAAGCCAGCCTTAACTACCAAGTATCCAAGTAGCTCCAGTGCTCAGAAGCATTATTGACACCAAAGCTGTCTTGGCTGATTGGTACATTTAGGGTAAAACAGGGGAAAAACTGGGTATATTTGACTTTTCGCCAGACTGTCGCTTTAAAGTTCAGACTCTTCAGTCCCTGACTTGTTCTGTTGTAGACCCCCGCCCCCAACCCCCCTTGTTCCACTCCTCCAGACAGAATGCCTCCTGCATTACTGCCCGCACTATCGGACAGGGAGGCCCAAAATACACAGGCAGGCATGTGGTCACCCTGAAAGAGGCCATTGTCTGACCAGCACCCCCCATCAGACCCACTGAGCACCCCCATCACCTTGTCTGGACATTAACTAACCCCTATACGTCAGCCCTCAATGGAAACTGTATTAAGAACAGATATGGATGCTAACGGTTGACGTCTGAAGCCTGTTGGAGGGTCTGAAGTGGCTTTAAAGCCCCCGCATATCTGACTGTTGATGCTCCAACATGAAGTTTTTTACAGAAAAATTGGAGACGTTTGTTTGTCCACTGTACAACAGTGTGTTACAGCATATCAGCCCCTTGTGGAGGTGTGTAGATGATAATCTGATCATATCTGTATCGACGGATGATCGTTTAGAGGTTTTTAGAATCTCTGGAAGAGCAGAATGTTAAAGTTAGGCTAAAAACGAATAAAGTTAGTTTATAAACTCGTTCACACTTCAGCTTTTTAGGACTTTTCTGTGTTTGACAGCGAACAGAAGCTTTTTTTCTCTCCCAATTAGAAAAAAGGAAAGCATGTAAACGCATATGTGGCATATGTTCTGTAATTAGTGTGTGTGAGTGTGTGAGTGTGTGAGTGTGTGAGTGTGTGTGTGTGTGTGTGTGTGTGTGTGTGTTTGGGAGACCATAAGGAATGAGCCTGGGGGGCTTTTAGTCCTGTTTTGACGTCAGAAACACGCAGGACTTCTGTTGTGGAGAGTGTGTCGCCTGTCCTGTCTGTACAGTACTGTGCAAAAGTCAGAGCCCCCCCCTTTCATTTATGTAATTTCCAGTAAAAGCTATTAAGTACAAGTCATTCATGTTTTAGCTTCAGGAAAAAATGGCAGAAACATTTATTTAACAGAAAATTAGACAAAAAGTAAAGAATTTTCACTGTTTGTGTCGCTCTTCACCTTTATTCCAGCTTCCACTCTTCTCAGGAGACTCACTTTCAGCTCCTCAAAGAATCTGCAGACACACCTCCAAAGTTCAGTCTTAGAAGCTGGTTGATTATTTTCTGAAGTAATCAAACACATTCAGTGGTGTTGAGGTCTGGACTCTGGGGTGGTCAGTCCATCGTTCAGCTTCTTTGTTTGATGTGTCCGTCTCCTTTTCTCAGTGAGGTTCTTCTTGATCAGCTACACATCCTTTCAGACCCACAGCACTGAGTCGTCTTCTCACAGTGGAAGGATGGACAGAAACACCTGTGGATGTTTTCAGATCTGAAGCAGCTTGATTTTCTCCTCTCTCTCAGAGATGAAAGCTTTAAGCGCTGTTTATCTGATGGGGGCAGTTTTGGTGTCTACCAGGTCTTCCAGGTGGTTGTTAGGAGTCTCATTTTCTCTGTAGCTTTTAATAATTTTTTTGCTCCAGTTTCTGAATCGGAGTAATGAAGGTGGGTCTCTGTGTAAACGTGAGAGATCTACACATAAAAGAGAAGAATTGTCTTTGATGCGTCCACTTTTGTTTTATGGTCTGTAGTAATTTATAGTGTTTAAGGCAGCATTAAAACGCCACTGAGTGTGTGTTTATATGAGGAGAGAGAAGAATGGTTTTGGCCTGTGTGTGTGTGTGTGTGTGTGTGTGTGTGTGTGTACGGTCAGTGCAGAGGTGGAGACTGATGTTATCACACACACACACACACACACATCAGATTGGCTGTGTTCCCTCAGTGAAAGGCGGCCCGGCCCTCTACTGTACCATTCACAGCACTGACGCAGGTCCGCTCGCTGCAGCCGAGCTCGCTGGGAGTGCAGTGGGATGTTGATTTTGGATGAAAGTCAACAGGTTATTTACATAAAAACAAAAGCACTGTATAATCAGACATACGTAGACTGTCATTAATCTTCCAGTAAGGTAAGGTACTCCTCCAAAAACACAGTGAGGAAAGGTAGCAGCCCAAAAACTACTTAAGTACTGAGTAATGTCTGGAACTGCAGTGGAACTTCTTAGAACGTCCAGCCCCTATCAGCACAGGAACCGAAGTATTTATGGCTCAAGTCCTCTCTTCTAATGGAAGCCTGTTCCAGGCAGGTAGAGGAGAAAAACAACATCAGATCTTCTCTGTTTTTGGCCACAGTGTCTCAAAATACTGACTTAGTATCTCTTAGTTATTGAATTTGAAGGAAGCAAGTAATTTGGAGAAAATAAGTCATTATTTCAAGATGTTAAGTCATTATTCTTAGAAAATAAGTAATTATTTTGAGACAGTAAATCAATATTTCTAGAAAATGAGTAAGATATGGAGTCAATATTTTATGGAGATTATTTTATAATAGTCAATATTTCAAGAAAAAACTAAACTTAAGAGAATAAGGTGTTATTTTGAGCATCTAAGACAATATTTGTTGAAAACAAAGCATTATTTTGAGATGCTTGCTCAGTATTTCTGTCTGTAATTTTCTATATTTATATGATCCACACAGTTAGACTGTAATACTCTACAGGAAGTGTAGGGGGCGATATGACTTCTACTGTTTCATTTATAAAGCACTGTATAATCAGACATATGTAGACTGTCATTAATCTTCCAGTAAGGTAAGGTACTCCTCCAAAAACACAGTGAGGAAAGGTAGCAGCCCAAAAACTACTTAAGTGCTGAGTAACGTCTGGAACTGCAGTGGAACTTCTTAGAACGTCCAGCCCCTATCAGCACAGGAACCGAAGTATTTATGGCTCAAGTCCTCTCTTATGGAAGCCTGTTCCAGGCAGGTAGAGGAGAAAAACAACAGCAGACTTTTTTTCTTCTCTGTTTTTGGCCACAGTGTCTCAAAATACTGACTTACTATCTCACAATATTGACTTACTTGAGATTTTGAGATACTATGTTGAAATAGAGTTATTGAATTTGAAGGAAGCAACTAATTTGGAGAAAATAAGTCACTATTTCAAGATGTTAAGTCATTATTCTTAGAATATACGTCATTATTTTGAGACAGTAAGTATTTCTAGAAAATAAGTAATTAAAATACTGAGTTAATATTTTATTGTTATTGATGATTTTGTAATAGTCAATATTTCAAAAAACTAAACCTAAGAAAATGTAAGACAGTATTTCTTGAAAACAAAGCATTATATTGAGATGCTTTGTCAGTATTTCTGTCCGTAATTTTCTATATTTATATTATCCACACAGTTAGACAGACTGTAATACACTGCAGGAAGTGTAGGGGGCGATATGGCTTCTACTGTTTCATTTAAAAAGCCTCTATACTGTTCATATGATCCACACAGTCATTCTGACAGACTGTAATACACTACAGGAAGTGTAGGGGGCGATATGGCTTCTACTGTTTCATTTAAAAAGCCTCTATACTGTTCATATGATCCACACAGTCATTCTGACAGACTGTAATACACTACAGGAAGTGTAGGGGGCGACAAAAGTGCACCTCATTGCTAAAAACAGTATTTGCTGTCCTGAAACCTGAATTTTGCCAGTACTTTAGTCCATGTTTATAGATATCAGTGAGTCATACAGAGTCAGAAACCACGTAATCCAGTCTGTTAGAGACACTGAACACCTTCATGTTTTGAGTTGTGATCTTTTAGCCATGCAGTTAGCACTATGCTGATTGGTGGGTTAAAAGGCTTTGATAGGCTTTTGGTGAAGCAGCGCTTTAAACGGTGGTGTTAGCTTTAGGCGGCGTGTGGCGTTCTTTCCTTACGATTACAGCAGAACTGTTTTTAGATGTGTGTATGGAAGAGCCCCTGGATCTGTTAAGAGGAACGGAAACATCCCCCCCCTACACACACACACACACACACACACACACACACACATAGCACACACACACACTCTCCCGCTATGTGATGACGTGCGCTGTGTGTGTGACACTGCCGGCTCGTGCTGTGGCGCTCCAGGACCTTGCGGAATCCCGTTGTGTTGCCGGGCCGGTTACCAAGCAACCTGAGGTCACACACGGTGGGCTTCACAGAATGTGTGAGTGTGTGTGTGTGTGTGTGTGTGTGTGTGTGTGTGTCAACTGGTGTGACATATGATGCGTCAGTGTGTTTTCCCAACACTTTCTATAGAAAACGTGTGTGTGTGTGTGTGTGTGTGTGTGTGTCTTGGTGAGAAACACGTTTGTGGGGGTGTTTTGTGTGTATTTGTGTTTTTATGTAGAGATAAAGGACAAAAAATCAATCAGGTTTTTTTCTTCTGTTTCTGTCAGCAGTACGTCAAAATTTTGACTTATTATCTTGAAATAATGACATTTACTCAGTTTTGAATTTTTTTCTCGAATGATGATTTTGTAACTCAAAATAATGACAAACTGATTCAAAATTACATAGCAAGTCATTATTTTGAGATACGAAGTCAAAATTTTTAAAAAGAGTAATTTGATATCGTACGAAATTATTTTGAGTCAAAAAAGTAAAGACTTAAATCACAAAAATAATGACTGTTTAGAAATACTGACTTTCTTCTTGAAATTTTGACCTTGTATCTCAAAATAATGTAGAGTCTCCCATGTAGAACTAAAAATAGAAATATTGAATTTTGTATTTCAAAATAATGACTTACTGTTTAGGAGTCCTTTTTTCTTTGAAATGTTGACTTAATATCTCGATCCTGTCTTCCATGTGGAACTAAAAACTTTTTAGTATTGACTTCGTATTTCAAAATAATGACGTGCTATTTAGAAATACCTTTTTCTTAAAAATTTTGACTTAATATCTCAAAATAAGGTCTTCCATGTAGAGCTAAGAACTTAGAAATATTGACTTAGTATTTCAAAATAATGACTTATTATTTAGAAGCACTTTTTTCTTTGAAAATTTGACTTAATATCTCAAAATAATGACTTGCTATGTCGACTCCTGTACTAAAATGCTAAATACTCGTCATGCTAAATAACCAGTATCTCTTACTTTCAATGTTGCGTTTTATTTGATGTATTTTTATGAATTTAAAATACCAGTTTGGCTCATTAAAGGGTGAATAATGTTGTTTATATTGTGTTATTAGCTAATAGAACATGCTGTAAATGTGTGAGTGTGTTTAATTAGTTCAGGGGTGTGCGTGTGTGTGCGCACATGTGTGTGTGCGTGTGTGTGCGCACGTGTGCATGTGTGTGCATGTGTGTGTGTGTGCGTGTGTGTGCGCACATGTGTGCATGTGTGTGTGTGTGTGTGCGTGTGTGTGTGCGTGTGTGTGTGCGTGTGTGTGTGCGCGTGTGTGTGCGTGTGTGTGTGTGTGTGACAGGATGAGGCAGGTGGTCCGGTGGAGATTCTCTTATGTAATGGGACCTGCTGAGGAGAGGGTGTTGATGAGAGTGTCATCAAACCTCATACACACATGCTGTGGTGGTCCTGAGGGAGGGGCCGGTTGTGTAATCCTCTCTACTCTTCCTTCGTTCACCGTAATCCTGCGGCGGGAATGAGAGAGAAGCGCCGGCCGCACGTTGAATTCACCCTCCTGCGCAGCGTTTGTGTTCTCTCAGTCTGATAAACGTGTTTGGGTCTTTGTTTTTAACTGTACAGAGCGGCTGTTCATCTCCACAGAGTCCACAGAGTCTGGTCAGTTTGCAGTGCCCTCAGTGTCAGTCTGGAGTTCAGTTTACGGTTCGGACACTGAGAGAAGTGACCAACATATGCAGCAGTGCCCTAAAATTCATATAGGGATTGATTTCAGAGCCTGAATACGCAACTATGCAGTACTGGAACATAAACAATATCAACGAATGTGAGGTGAGGTCTGAACACATGGAGACCTGGCCGGGGTTTTATTGTTGTTTTTTTATGATGATGAGGATGAGGATGCAGTGAGTGGGAGCCTAGAGGTTGTTGTCATGGTAACGTCTGGTCACTTCAGATTTCTCTTATTATTTTAAAAAACAGGACTGTAAATCAGTAGCGGGTGGCAGTGAGCCGATCCTCAAAGGTGGTGAGTGTAGCTGAACGGCTAAAAATGAAAAAAGAAAAAAAAAATTTCTAGCCATTCATGTTGGAACTTATTTTAATTTGGAAAAATAGAAGAATTTCTATTAAAACCTCAAAGAAAACTTACCAGTATTTTTCCGTTTTTCTACAGAAAACGAATTTTGGGTAGTAGAACATTAACATTACTGCTACTGAGCGCTGATTGGTTAGCATTACCGCTACTGAGTGCCGATTGGTTAACATTACTGCTACTGAGTGCTGATTGGTTAGCATTACCGCTACTGAGTGCCAATTGGTTAACATTACTGCTACTGAGTGCTGATTGGTTAACATTACTGCTACTGAGCGCTGATTGGTTAGCATTACTGCTACTGAGTGCCGATTGGTTAACATTACTGATACTGAGTGCCGATTGGTTAGCATTACTGCTACTGAGCGCTGATTGGTTAACATTACTGATACTGAGTGCTGATTGGTTAGCGTTACTGCTACTGAGTGCCGATTGGTTAGCATTACTGCTATTGAGTGCCGATTGGTTAGCATTACTGCTACCGAGCGCCGATTGGTTGGCTTTACTGCTACTGAGCGCCGATTGGTTGGCTTTACTGCTACTGAGCGCCAATTGGTTGGCTTTACTGCTACTGAGCGCCAATTGGTTGGCTTTACTGCTACTGAGCGCCGATTGGTTGGCTTTACTGCTACTGAGCGCCAGTTGGTTGGCTTTACTGCTACTGAGTGCTGATTGGTTGGCTTTACTGCTACTGTGATCTGATTAAACATTTACAAAGTACTATTTTGCCCAAAAGCTCTGTGTGAAACTGTTCATTTGGACTGGCTCTGGAGCGCCATCTACTGTAGACACACATGGAAGGCATTATTGAGTAGAAGTTCTCCTCACTGGACATTCTCTGGTTGTGCCCTTTAGGAAGACTACGAGGTGACGCCGGACGAGAAGAGGAAGAGTCGAGGAGATCAGATCATCAAAAAATTCCTCACCAAACAGGTGTGTGTGTGTGTGTGTGTGTGTGTGTGTTTGTCTATGTGCGGGCTTGCGTGCGTGTGTGTGAGAGAGAGAGAGAGCGAGAGAGAGAGAGAGATGTGCTGAAGACGTGTGAACTTGTTTGTGAGTGTGTGTGAAAGAGAAAGTAACCAGTGTTTGCGCTGTTGGTGGTTTTTGTTTTTTCCTGTAGTCTCTGGAGTGTGTGGACGTGGTTGAGGGTCTTGCCGAGCGCTGCAGAGAAAATCTTGAGCTGAGCCCCTGCAAGGAGATATTCAGCGACTGTCGCAAGTAAGAAACACACTTGCACAATGGTTTGTGTCCCATATTAATTATATAAGTATGTATGTGTAATATGTCCCATATGTAATAAGTACATAAATGAGTGCAGATACACCGATCAGGCATGACATTATGACCACCTCCTTGTTTCTACACTCATTGTCCATTTTATCAGCTCCACTTACTATATAGGTGCACTTTGTAGTTCTACAGTTACAGACTGTAGTCCATCTGTTTCTCTGATACTTTGTTAGCCCCCTTTTACCCTGTTCTTCAGTGGTCAGGACCCCCATGGACCCTCACAGAGCAGGTACTATTTGGTTGGTGGATCATTCTCAGCACTGCAGTGACACTGTTCCCACTCACTGTCCACTCTATTAGACACTCCTACCTTGTCAGTCCACCTTATAGATGTAAAGTCAGAGACGATAGCTCATCTGCTGCTGCACAGTTTGTGTTGGTCATCCTCTGGTCCTTCATCAGTGGTCACAGGACGCTGCCCACAGGACGCTGTTGGCTGGATAATTTTGGTTGCTGGACTATTCTCAGTCCAGCAGCGACACTGAGGTGTTTAAAAACTCCAGCAGCACTGCTGTGTCTGATCCACTCAGACCAACGCAACACACACTAACACACCACCACCACGTCAGTCTCACTGCAGTGCTGAGAATGATCCACCATCCAAATAGTACCTGCTCTGTGAGGGTCCATGGGGGTCCTGACCACTGAAGAACAGGGTAAAAGGGGGCTAACAAAGTATCAGAGAAACAGATGGACTACAGTCTGTAACTGTAGAACTACAAAGTGCACCTATATAGTAAGTGGAGCTGATAAAATGGACAATGAGCGTAGAAACAAGGAGGTGGTCATAATGAGATACCACTTCTTCAAATGGGTCAAATTAAAATTAGGTGCACTTGATTAGATGCCAATGGTTAGAACACCATTAGAGAACATCTTGGAGGAACCAGTCTTATTTAGACCTCTGACATGATACACACTCTGACACCTTTAAAAAGAAAGGTTTAGAAGCCTCTGAGTCTGGGATGGGGTTTAGGACAGTATCCAAAATATTGGAAATCAATCATTTGGCTGTTGGGAAGATCATCTGCACGTGGAGAAGATCTAACCGTCAGATGCTAAAGGAAGTCTAGAATTGCATCACAGGATTTGCAGGTAGCTCTTGAGCCACTGTTGATGTAATAATGTGTGCGTCTACCATTAGAACAGGAGTCAAAGACAGGGTTGTTTGGCTACAGTAGCAGAAACCATGTTTAGCAGAAAAACCAAAGACATCAATTGAGCAGAAGAGCTTCACACCAGTAAAGCATGGTGGTGGAAGTATTATGGGTTGGGGCTGCTTTGGTGGCCCATTTGCAATTATACACTTATCAGCTGTGAATTCTCTTTCCTACCAGTGAGTGATTGAGGAGAATGTGAGACCATCTGTAAGTGTATATCAGAAATAGTAATATGACCCATATATATTATAAATATGTAAATTTACAGATGTTAGTAATGTTAATAACAGTAAGTTTTATGTTTTAACAGAGCCTTTGTCCTGAAAATGTACAAAGACATACACACTCTACCCAGACAAGTGCAGGCACTCTTATCTGGATGATTTGATAGATATCTCTCCACTCTGACGTCCTTCCTTCAGCACTTTGCTTTTATCTGTGAACGTCTGAAGTTCGTCTCTGCAACCCATTAGGAAGAAATGTAGCCTTTAGCAAGCTTTAGAAATCTCTTACACTTCACTAGATCCTTTGAGTTGGCATTAAAGAAGAATTCAGAGCCAGATGCAGAAGTCAGCATGTGGTGATTGGGCTATTATGAGTTTATTGATCTGACAGTGCCGGTTAAAATTATATATCAAGGTTGATTTTTGGCAGATCACTTACTAAGAGTGCTCTATAACTTTCATATGATCCACACAGTCACTCTGACAGACTGTAATACACTACAGGAAGTGTAGGGGGCGATATGGCTTCTACTGTTTCATTTAAAAAGCCTCTATAACATTCATATGATCCACACAGTTATTCTGACAGACTGTAATACACTACAGGAAGTGTAGGGGGCGATATGGCTTCTCCTGTTTCATTTAAAACGCCTCTATAATGTTCATATGATCCACACAGTCACTCTGACAGACTGTAATACACTACAGGAAGTGTAGGGGGCGATATGGCTTCTACTGTTTCATTTAAAAAGCCTCTATAATGTTCATATGATCCACACAGTCACTCTGACAGACTGTAATACACTACAGGACGTTATGCAGTTATTGTTTATGTTAATTGTTGGTGTATTACAGATGTAGATCTGGCTGTTGAAGACATCTAGACCTTTAAAGATTTCGGTGTCCAGGTCCTGCTTGTGAAGTGTGAATGTGTAGTTTAGTTCAGTAATTAGTGTTGTTTGCCTTGTCTTTGTTAATTGCAGAGCTCTTCATGACTACTTAAGCGGGGCGCCCTTCTCCGACTACCAGAACAGCATGTACTTCGACCGCTTCCTGCAGTGGAAGATGCTGGAAAGGTTCGGACCTCAACTTTTCTCTTTTCTCCCTCTTTTTCTGTCCTTTAGTCTCTGGGTTTTTGTGAATGCTTTGATCCTTAAAGGGGCTTCTAGGCCTAAAATAAGCTTTTAATATATTATCTGTCATAGTGGTGGGCGATATGGCAAAAAATATTATATCACGATACTTTAAGACATTTCATGTCTTATTTTCATGATACATGATATGAAACAGAAAAAACAGAACCTGTAGTGCCAATTTAAAATATATATATATATATATATATATATATATATATATATATATATATATATATATATATATATATATATATTAATGATAATAATAATAATAGTTTTTTTTCAATGTTTTACAAACTTAGCTGCTCTAAATCCAGGTAAACAGGTCTAATTATGCTCACTTTATAATCAAACACGTGGTTAGTCAGCGTTCTTTAAGTACTGATGATACCCACAATATGCTTAGATAAGCATACGCTCTTAAAAGATGGTTCTTCTTCTTTAGTAGAGAAAATGGTTCTATATAGAACCATGAGCACTCAGAGGACCCTTTCCATGATTTAAAGGGATCTTGGCATCATGAAGGCGTTCTTCAGATTGATGGAGAACGTGCTTCAAATGATTCTATATAGAACCTTTTTGAAAAGGGTTCTATATAGCACCAAAAATGGGTCCCTGTGTTGTTACGATGTCAACCTTGTAACAACAGAAGAACGCTTTTCAGTGCTACAAAGAACTCTTGTTTGGGGGAAAAAGGAAAAACATCGCAAACAGCCCTCGAGTATTTACCCCAAAGTGCTTGTAGTTGTTCAAAATTTCCTCCCACCTTCAAGATACATCATCAGAAGGGGGTTTTCCTCGTCTTTAAAGTGGAAAATCCCGCTCTATAGACTGCTGTGGCGCCACTGTAGGATTGTGAATAGGCATGTTTTTAACAGGCGTAGCGATGGTTACATATATCCTCTTGTCCAAGGTGCCTCTTTAATTCAGCAGCATAGCTGTGAATGTGTTGTTTCCTGTTGTTCGATTAAATTTCGGTTCTGTTGTGTTTTCAGGCAGCCGGTTACTAAAGACACGTTTCGGCAGTACCGGGTTCTGGGCAAAGGAGGTTTCGGAGAGGTAAGGAGGACGTGTGTGGTGTGGTGTGGTGTGATGACAGCTGGGATCACAGTTTGACTCTCACCCACATCCACAGCCGAAAAAAAAACAAAAAAAACACTGAAACGTTTTGGCTGAACTTGGTCACACCTGGCACTTTCTGTTTTTTGGCAAACAGAGAAAAAAGGGAAGAAAGAAAACCTGACAAATGAGATTGTAATAGTGTCAAAGTCTAACAGAAAACAAAAAAAAACGCCATAAAATGTTGCCTGAAATTGGTCAAACCTGGCATTTCCATTTTTTCACCAAAGGAGGAAAAAGTCTACCACTAAACAGTTCATTTAAATGGTAATGAAAACGGATGTTTTCTTCTCTCTCCTGAAAAACACCTGTTCTGTTGTTGCCCCCTCTGCCCTGCAGGTGTGTGCGTGTCAGGTGCGGGCCACAGGTAAGATGTACGCGTGTAAGAAGCTGGAGAAGAAGAGGATAAAGAAGAGGAAGGGCGAGTCCATGGCTCTGAACGAGAAGCAGATTCTGGAGAAAGTGAACAGCAGATTCGTAGTGAGTCGACGTGTCTGAGTTTGTCTTCTTGTCTTTATGCTGAAATTTGTCTTCCTCAGGCTGCACTCCTCCACCACACCTGCCCCGCTGAGCGGTCAGCCTGCCGATCAGATAGTGCTAAAGTGTACATTTGCATTTTACAACAGGTTGAACGGTTAAAGGTTAAATATGCACAAAGGTGTTCTGATTATGACACCGTACGCTTTGTTCGTTCCCTTTTCCCTCCCTCTCTTCCTCCGGTTAGCAGACGATCTTATCCAGAGACGCTCTTATCCAGAGTGCTTTGTGGTTCTTCTGGAAAAGGTGTATTTAATTAAAGTTCAATAAGGTCCAGTTAGAAAATCTCCTCAAGCAAAGGTCCAGAATATCATAATGTCTAACCTGCATTATGATTCAGTGCCATATACTGTTTACTGAAGTAGCCTAGTAGGAATATCAGCATCTTATACAGTCAACAACTGAATATCAAATCAAATAAAGTACAGTTCAGTCATATTTCAACAGTATTTATTGTCAGTTTTCTCTTTTTAGATCACGACATGTAAATTAACTTCCCTCTGACTTACTTTCTTCTCTGACTGCTGTTTCTTGCCTTGTCCCTCCCCTGTGTGTGCGTCACTCACACACAGTGCTCATCATAATGCACAGATCTGATTGGTCTGTGAGTCTCCTGGGCCGCTAAAGCTACCGTAAAGGCTAGAAAAGCTACGCCGATTGAAATAGGACCACCCAGTCGAAATTAAATAATTCTCCATGGTTTATTCATTATAGGTCCAGATCTGCATAGGACAGCGTCTGGGTCCGAACTCGGACCGCGGCCCGCCTATTAGTGACCTCTGATCTAGAGTGTGTTCTAGCTAGTACAAGTAGATTAGAGTCCAAACTGTCCTCAGATACTGCCAGTAACGAAGCCAATGCTGATACATAGATACAAAAACACGCCATACAGAAATAAGACCTCAGAAAGGGATACATTCGTGTTCATTTAAGTGCTGTTTTCTCTCAATAAATGAGTCCAGCTTGCCCCGTTGTGGTGCAGGATCCAGTATTTAAATTCCTACGTAGTGCACTATGTAGGGAGCAGGGAGCTGTTTGAGATCCAGCCCCAGTGTGAGAAGAGGGGCGCCGCTGGATTGGTGCTAAATAAGACTTGCAGTGGTGATTTGGTGACTAAAAAGTGCTTATAAAGAGATTTTTTTTTAACGAAATGACCGCAATGTACAGCGATGGGTGACCAAACATTTTCCTCATTCAGTGATCCATGGTTGCTTGATGATACCATACTCTAAAGGAACTACATTTCTTAGCGGAATACTTGTTTACGTCTGTTATTATTAATAATAATGTAAATTATTTTCTGAAAAATTGTGTATTTTTTCATATTTTATTTTGGCCGCCGTTTTATAAAAGCAATAAGCCACTTGAGGCCGTGCATTACAGTGATTTTATCTCAGGGAAGGGAGTTTTAGGTGCTGTGCTTTGCGTCGTGCCTAACAACACCCTTCCCTGTGATAAAATTGCAGTCATGCGCAGCCTCTCGTGGCTTATTGCTTTAACAGACCACTTTTCAAAAGTGTTTTTTTTTTCCCCAAATATGCATCATGTATAGGAGGGGCCTTTATACGAGAAATGTCAGTGCAATATTATAATTAATACCATTTGTTTTCCCTGATAGGTCAGCTGTTATTTTCAAACACATTACATTCACTGAGCACTTTATTAAGTTTCTCTGCATACTTTGTTACCCTGTTCTTCAACAGTCAGGACCCCCACAGGACCACCACAGAGCAGGTATTATTTGGTGTTTAAAAACTCCAGCAGCACTGCTGTGTCTGATCCACTCGCACCAGCACAACACACACTAACACACCACCACCACGTCAGTGTTATTGCAGTGCTGAGAATGACCCACCACCCAAATAGTACCTGCTCTGTGAGGGTCCATGGGGGTCCTGACCACTGAAGAACAGGGTAAAAGGGGGCTAACAAAGTATCAGAGAAACAGATGGACTACAGTCTGTAACTGTAGAACTACAAAGTGCACCTATATAGTAAGTGGAGCTGATAAAATGGACAATGAGCGTAGAAACAAAGTAGGTGTACCTAATAAAGTGATCACTGAGTGTATTTCCAAATGGATGTTCAGCTTTTAGGAAAGAAAGTCTGAATATAGGCTCACGGTTTGCTCTCCGTCCTCAGGTCAGCTTAGCGTACGCGTATGAAACCAAAGACGCTCTGTGTCTGGTGCTGACCATCATGAACGGCGGAGACCTGAAGTTCCACATCTACAACATGGGCACGCCGGGCTTCGAGAAGGAGCGCGTCCAGTTCTACGCTGCTGAAATCTGCTGCGGCCTCGAGCACCTGCACCGAGAGTCCATCGTCTACAGGTGCGGGACGAGTAAACTCACCTCATACAGCCATATAAAATCATCCGTTTCACTCAAAATCTCACTCTGACGTTTTTCTTTTTCTCCAGGGATTTAAAACCAGAGAACATTCTCTTAGATGATAACGGTAAGTAGATCTGTTTGTACTGTGTGTATATATATATATATATATATATATATATATATACAAAATTGTGTGTGTGTGTGTGTGTGTGTGTGTAATATATATATATATTTACATATTTAACTTTTGCACACAAAAGTTGCAAAAGTTTGGTCAAATTGCATGAGAATTACATTACACAAGAAAAAATAACATCTACAGAAAACACACTTAAATATGTCATATTTCTGCAAATTTACTGCGCAATTTATTTGCTGACTTTAACATATTTTATTGTATTTTTTTCCAATATGCTATAATAGGCCACATTTTACTTTTTTTATTATTTATTTAATTTATTTATTTTTTGCTGAATTCAACATATTGGAAAAACTAAATATATTGAGGTAAAAAAGTCAAACAAATAAACAGAAATTGTGCTGTAAATAATATGACATATTTAAGTGGGTTCTCTGCAGAGGATGTTTTAACTTATTTTCTCTTACAAAATCTCCATATAATTTGACCAAACTTGTGTACATGACCGTATACAGTCAGTGGTTCCACCTCCGCTGCAGTTGTAACCTCTTAGATTAGATCGGGGCCAAAACTTGGGGAAACCCCTAATTTTACCGCTGACCTCATAACCAATATATTGTGGTGTTTATTGGTGTTTATTTTGGTTTGTTTTTTCTTTTTTTCCCTCCTTATTCCACTGCAGGCCATATCCGGATTTCAGACCTGGGGCTGGCCATCAAAGTGCCTGAGGGAGAGCAGATCCGCGGCCGAGTCGGCACTGTGGGTTATATGGGTAAATAGTCTATTAATCATAATTAATCAGACTTCATCATCCTCACTACAGAAGCTGCCGTTATTCTGCCCTGGTTGGCCCATCAGTAATGCGTTATGGACTTGGTGAACCTTTAGAGGTGCAGAGTCATTAGAATTATTTTATTATGCTGTTTAAATGTAATTATATTATAAATTGCAGTTAATTCTATAATGAATTACATTTATATTCAGTCTACATTCTGGATAGACTTTTGTTTTGATGTCAAAATTAGAGAAACAGCAAAAATGTAAAGGACAGTTTCTCTTTCTGCAAACAAGACTAAACAATGACACAACTTTTCATCAAATCATAATAAAATATCTCTGCTTACTTACAAACATGAATGTGGTGCAGATTGACAATTAAAAATCTACACTTTCAACACAATTTCCCATCTTGTTTCAATGAAGTACAAGAAAACTGTAATAAAATCACATCATAATTTTCACTCTGGCGATAACTGCGGCTTCTCATTGGCTGTGGGACTGAAGTTTTGACGGCCGTGTTTCTGTGCTGATTGACCGGCAGCTCCAGAGGTGATCAATAACGAGCGCTACAGTATGAGTCCTGACTGGTGGGGTTTGGGCTGCCTGATCTACGAGATGACCGCCGGCCGCTCGCCCTTCCGCGCCCGCAAGGAGCGAGTGAAGAGGGAGGAGGTGGAGAAGCGAGTGCAGGAGGAGGAGGAAGAGTACAGCGACAAGTTTACAGAAGACACCAAAGCCATCTGCAGGATGGTGAGGAGAGAGAGCACACACACACACACAGCTACACTGTGGGCCTGTATGGAAACCAGTGGGTCTGAAACAAAAAACTAGGCCTGATGATAAATTTAAGTACAGGGTGATTCAAAAAGATGAATCCGATTTCAAAATGATTTATTTCTCTTGTAAATCATTACAGATCAGTGCAGTGAACTGTAAATGGTTTAAATGAGCATAAAGTTTATTATGTAATTGTACAAGGTCTCAGTATGAACCTCCTCCAGCTGTACAGACAACATCAACGCCATAGTCAAACTCATCCCATACTGGATTGAGCATGTCGGGTGTCGCTGCACTCACGGCTCTTTCAGTGCGATTTCGGAGATCATCCAGTGTTGTGGAACCAACGACGAACGCTCTGAGCTGTTGGAGCTTCACTGCCCACGAAAATCACACTGCACAGTTATGACGGATTCACTCTTACTGAAGTGGAGAACGCAGAACGCTTTCTGCTCAGGGGTCGCATCTCCTCTCAGACTGAAGGGAGCCATCTTCCACTGACTGTCAGAAACTATATGACCCCCTCTTTCAATTGGATTGTGATTGGTTCCTCAGCGCCTCACGGTTGTAAAAATATGGTGCTTTGAAATCAGATTAATCTTTTTGAACCACCCTGTAATTAAATGTGATGTATTATATACGCTGAAGTTTTTACATTACAGGTCGTTTAAAAGCTGTATTTTAACAAGAGGAGCTACAATCAATTCTGAGTCTATCAGAACAACATACAGTGCGCTGCAGCTGGGCTACAGCCCGCAGTACTGCGAATATGCCAAAGGGTCAAGCAAGGAAAATGTGTTGCATGTAAAATGTGGCATTAATAATGTCACATTAATGCGTTATTAACATTAACTTTGCCAGAATTGAGAAAATAATCAACATCCAAACATCCAACACATTTATTAATTAACATCTGGTTTAAACATGAATTTTCTCCAAAATAATGCATTTTGTTTGTATTTGGTAAACATGCATTGATTTATTGAAGAGTATTAAATTAAATTCTCGTCAGTCATAATTAGATAAAGTTTGCACTCGTTTTTCGGCAACATTAAACTTCTCTAGCTATTTTCAGGTGGAAATCTTCCAAAGCTTGGTGTATTGTTTTGATTGGCTATATTCTATTACTGTGTAAATAGTTCCTCTAGTTCTTCTGTATATTAAATGTATTTTTAACAATTCTGGTTCATACAAAAATAATAAAATCAAACGATATTTCCTAAAAAACCAGACGTTAAATAGGTTTACACCCTTAGGAAGTGTTTATGCGAATGAATGCTTTTCCATAAGTGTTCAATAATAATCCATCCAATAATGTTAGTGTTAATAAACAGTCGTAAACACCCTGCTGTCCATTATCTTTTAAGTTCATTTTGAAACCAGTGTTTCTAGCATACAGTGCAGCCAAGAAAACTGTTTAAAGCTATTTATCTGAGCAGTAACAACACCAAATACCATTACAAATAGAAATAAACATAAGTACAGTCAATTATAACAAGAACAGGTGTGCTTCCGGACTCCTCGCTGTGCTCCAGCCATCGCATGGATTCATTCAATTCCACCACCTGATTCAGTTTAATGAGGGACTGATTAGATAAATACTGGAATTCCTTAAGCAGAACTATGGAAATAGTTATGCCAACAAGCTCACAATAGATTGTTTGTTTACTCTTTCTGCCCAAATAAATGTAAGATTTAAAGATAATTCGCTCAGACGTCTTCAGACTTGTTCATATGAAGGCTTCCGTGTCTTCCTCTGTGTAAGTTAACCAGAGTCAGAGCGCACAGACACGTTTGTTGAATGAGGAGATTCTTAAAGCTGTGAACAGAACGAGCCAAGTGTCTTCACAAACACACACAGAGCACATTGGTCATCGTCCAAGTGGACGCTGTGGAGCCCAGCACAGACTGTTTCTGAGTAAATACAGTGATGTGTTTCTGCTTTAACGCCTGATTTAGTGTCTCACTCACTGTCAGCACAGAGCTGCTGAGTGTGGCCTCCTCTCAGTGTCCGGCACTGCAGGCTCCTGATCACAAACAAGCTCATTACTCCTTCTTTGGTGCCGTTTGGTGATGTTTTACAGCACCAGTATGAACTGCCTGAGGAGCAGCGTGTTTTTTAGCACACGGTGGTGCATAAAGTGAACATTTTGAGCTTTTCTTCTCTTTTAGGACAAAAAAGTATCTGCCAGTCGTTAAAATTAATAGTGTCATCCAAGTATTTTAAGTGATGTTAAGCACATAAACAGATGCAGCCCATTTAAACTGACCTGTTTGATTAGTAATGTTTGGTTTTGAAGCCTAGGCTTTTAGCTTGGATGCCTGTTGTACTGCTTGTCTTTGTCTTTGTTTCTGTTTTAATGTCAGTTTTGAGTGTCGTTTTCTGATCTTCATGCTTCTTTCAGCTAGTATTGTTTTCCGGTATGAGTTTTAATATAACTGTTATAGCGATATTCCTCAAATAAGTGTAGATAACATGATGTATAAACATTGCAAATCAAGCTAACGTGCCCAGCTGCCGGTCAGAGGGACGTAACACACATATGAAACAAATAACTTGAGGAATAACTTAAATTCGACTAAGCTGAAGTTGGCGAACTTCCCATTCCGCCTTAAATGGTGCAGCAGTTATGTTCAGGTGCCTCTGCAGGTGCCAGTATGTAACCATCTCTTCATTTAAGGTGGAACGGAAATTTAAAAAAGGGTGGAAGCTTCAACTTTAAGATGTGAAACCATGTTTAGCACTGTTTTTGTATATTGTTCTGTTGTTTTTTGTTTTTATCATTTTGCACAATGAAATATTTAAGATTTGCCTTGGTTGTTTCAGTTGTTTCTTATTTAAGATAAGATCATCCTTTATTCGTCCCACCACAGGGGACATTTACAAAATTTGACTCTGGTGGGACTCAAACCCACAACCTTTGAATCACTGCTGTAAGTGTTACTTAGAAGTCTGATGTGCCACAGAGCCACCTTATTTGAAAGTGAAGGGACATCCCATAATAATAGGCAGCTGTTAACCTACAGCAGTAAGTAAAGCATCTAAAATAGTTTTATTTGAAAGTATATAATGCATATATACTGTCGGAAACTTTTATTAAACATAATACAGGGTGATTCAAAAAGATTCATGCGATTTCAAAATGATTTATTTTACTATGCAGTGAACTGTAAATGGTTTAAATGAGCATTAGTTTTACAAGGTCTCAGTATGAACCTCCTCCAGCTGCACAGACAACATCAACACCATAGTCAAATTCACCCCATACTGGATTGAGCATGTCGGGTGTCGCTGCACTCACGGCTCTTTCAGTGCGATTTCGGAGATCATCCAGTGTTGTGGAACCAACGACGAACGCTCTGAGCTGTTGGAGCTTCACTGCCCACGAAAATCACACTGCACAGTTATGAGGGATTCACTCTTATTGAAGTGGAGAACGCAGAACACTTTCTGCTCAGGGGTCTCATCTCCTCTCAGACTGAAGGGAGCCAGTCAGAAACTCTATGACCCCCTCTTTCAATTGGATTGTGATTGGTTCCTAGGCGTTGTAAAAATATGGCGCTTTGAAATCAGATGAATCTTTTTGAATCACCCTGTATAATTTTTCACCATATGACCCACTACTGACTTTCTATTCTACTACTGACTAACCTGTCGTAGTGGTTTAAATCTCTGACCTCACAGTGAATCAGTTTTATTCAGAAAACAAAATCGCGAAAATCTCACAGTTCAGTGTTATTTGGTTGTTTTGGTGTAATTCAGAATGATTAATATAAATACACTGAGTACACGAATATAACAGGAGGAACTGTTCACACATTACTGGAACATAGACGATCAGAACAATCCAAAAAACTTTATTCTATTTGAAACTAACTGCCAAAAAAAGGAATGCATCATTCAGCCTTGCGTGCCCATTGCTAACGTTGTCTGTGTGTTTCTCCAGCTCTTAGCCAAAGACCCCAAGCAGAGGCTAGGCTGCCAGGCTGAAGGAGCTGCAGAGGTCAAAGCTCATCCCTTCTTCAAAAACATCAACTTCAAGAGACTCGAGGCCGGCATTCTGGAACCTTCCTTCGTGCCTGACGTGAGCGAATACAGAGGATGTTTGTGTGATAGTTCAGCAAGAAATAAGATCACCAAAGTTTTCCTGTTTCACCGCAGATGTAGTCGATCAGCCACGTCACGTTTAGAGCCTGAAGTGTGTTTGTTTATTTTTTGCACTGGCTTAGACACTAATTTTGTCCATTCAGTGCATGTTTATTGATAACCGTACGTCATACAGACTCGTTAAACCTTACATTAATGTGTATTTCATGTCCGGTTTATATGTAGATTTACTGTAGCCAAATTCTTTTTACTCTTTACACTAAAATGCATCTCCGGTGTGACCAGATCCGATTTTACTTTCCCACGTAAAACGAACATCAGCACATACGTCGTTTTCGGTTTACTTATGTTTACTCTCTCCTCCTGTTACGATACGAATCGACAAGCTTTTATTGTTAGTTAAGTGACCCTTATTAGTCCCACAGCGGGGAAATTTAACCTCCACATTTTACCCCTCAGTGCAGTGAAACACCACATACACACTAGGGGGCAGTGAGCACACTAGCCCTATCCCACAGCTGGGATTGCTTAAGGGCATTTCAGTCACGTGTTGGCTCAGGGGATCGAACCGGTGACCTTCCAGTCACAAGGCTGGTTCCCTAACATCCAGCCCGTAACAGTTATTTTGGCAAAATACCTAATTGTGATTTTTCTGACCAATATTGCGATTATGATTTAAATTGCAGTTGTTTACAATTGAGGTAAATTGAAGTTTGTGTTATTTGTGGTTGTGATGTCACAGCAGTCCACAAGCTCCAATTTCCCTACTTAAAACTTCAAAAAAGCATCAACGTTGTTGGTGATAGACTGTAAGACTATAATAAAAGTTTCAGCCCCTGCGATTTGAAAATTAATGCACTTTTTCAAAAAGCAATTTCAATATAAAACCGATTAATCTTTCAGCTGTACCCAGAGTGCAGAAGGCTCGTGGTTTGTGCAGCTCCAGCCCTGTTTCATTGCGTATCTTCCCACCTGTTAGTCAGCTTTCAGCATTTCTGCTTGTGTAACTAAAAGCAGATGTAGAAATCATCACATTCCATTCGTAACGTCTCCTCATACAGCGTCAGAATTAACATAAGTCTATTAGAGATACTGAGAAACTTCACATGCGTTGAGATGAGTGCATCCAATTAGCACTATGCTATATATAAACTTGCAGTACTTCTCTGCTACATTAACCTTGTGGCTCAAAGAAGCAAACGTCCAAACGTGTTGGCTGATCGACTGCTGGGGAAGGGGGGGTTTAGATTAGATTGAATTATATTCCTCAGATTTTTAAACTGCTCCTCAAACCGAGTATTTCAGATGTGTTTACTGTTGGTTCCTCTCTGTCTGTGTTGTGCAGCCCAGGGCGGTCTACTGTAAAGACGTTCTGGACATTGAGCAGTTCTCCACTGTTAAAGGTGTAAACCTGGACCAAACAGACAACGATTTCTACTCCAAGTTTGCCACTGGCAGCGTCTCCATCCCATGGCAGAATGAGGTTTGTTTTATTGGTGCACATTCTGCTCTTCACAGTCTCGTAGCAGAGTGACTAAGTTAGTGATGCAGCACTTCAATCTTTTAAAAAAGACTTCTTTAGGGTGCTTGGTAGGGTTGCCGGATATCTGGTTTTGAGCTCCGTTGTCCAGTCGGTCCTCTCGACCAAATGTCTAACGTGTCCAGTCGAGTCTCGCTCTAAATTTATTCCATCGTTGAAACAGTAAAGTGCCATTCTAGTGCTGTCGTTCCATCTCTCTCTTACTCTCTCTCTCTTTCTCTCTCGCAAGCTTGTGGCAGGGCTGCTTGTGCAGAGATGTTCGGTAGCTGGGTGGGCGTTGTCTCCAACCGCATATAGACCACTGTGGTCGTGTATCATTCTGTAGTCCTCGTTATGCCCATATTAGGAACTCCGGGTCTGAGCTCCATTTCTCTATGGCCAGAATGAATAAGGTTTTCGAAAAATCGCCTCTGTCGCCCCCTGTGTTAAATAAACATGTTCAGAGCCCGATACGTTTTGTCCTGTGAACATTTTTCTCCCGAACACCACTGGATCCTCTGAATTATGAGGTTGTTAAAGAGCTATAATACTAATAATGCTACATGCGAGCCAAAGCTATTGCGCAACAATTTGATGTCACTAAGCTACACGAAACTAAGGCGGGCTGTGGTGGTGCTCTGACGAGCTGTGCTGCCTTATCGAAATGTTTATTTACAGGTATACCTGTAAGTAAAACGTCTAGGTGGGATATTCTGATAGCCTAAAACTCCTTATCAAAAATACTACTAGCATTAAAACTACGAGGCTGAATTCAGCTTCTTTTTTCGCAGCTTCTTCTTTAAATGTTCCTGTTCCACCTTAAATGGTGCAGCAGCTGTGACTAGCTGTACAAACATTACTACCAGCATTTTAATTCAGAGAAGAAAACTGATGAATAAAAGACTTTTATTAATTCAGTTTACAAGATCTCTACCTATAAGATGTGTCTTGTGTGTAACTGCATTGTTAAGTAGATATATGCGCACTAAGGCTCTCATACAGGATAAACAATGCATCTGCCTGCATTCAGACCATGTTCAAACAGCTTCAAGGGATGCCAGCGGACTAACGTTAAATATCGCAATGTCCACTCTGGGTGGTCCTGAATGGCTCTGTCGGCCTGTAATGCTGAGTTGGGCTGTTTTTTTATGTTCGGTTATGGAGAGGCAGGAAGAAAGAACAGAAGTTCTCAGGAAGCCCTAAATGGTTCCATGTCGAGCTTTAAGAACGTACAGACGAGAGGACTGGATCAGTTTTTTAAACTCTGCTGGCCGTTTCCTGCTGTGGGGCGATTTTATAAACATGATCTGAGCTTTTCTTCCTGAGAAATGTTCTCACATTCACTCTGTTCAACTGGAGGGATGGATGGATGAATGGAGAAATAGAGGGATAGAATGATAAATGTGTATATATGTAGATATTTGGAGGGATGACGGAAAGACAGATGTGTAGAGAGATGGATGAATAGATGTGTATATTCATGGATGCAGGGAAAGAAAGAAAGATCAATAGAGGGACAGATGAATTGATAAGTATATTCATGGATGAAGAAATGACCGGATAGATAGATGGATGGGTGGCTAGATAGAGGGATAAATGGGTAGATGGCTGGATAGATGGCTAGATAGATGGCCAGACGAATAGATGGCTGACTAGATGGATAGAAGGATAAATGGGCTGTTGGGCTGTTTATGTTCGGTTACGGAGCGGCAGGAAGAAAGAACAGAAGTGCAGTTACACACAAGACACATCCTGTAAGTAGAGATCTTGTAAACTGAATCAAGTCTTTTATTCATCAGTTCATCGGATAGTTGACTGGCTAGATGGATAGATGGCTAGATAGATGGATAGATGCCTGGATGGATAGATATATAGATAGGTGGATGGATGGATGGATGGATGGATAGGTGGATGGATGGATGGATGGATGGATGGATAGATAGAGAGATAGATAGATAGATATAGATAGATAGATATAGATAGATAGATATAGATAGATGGCTAGATGGATAGATGCCTGGATGGATGGATGGATGGATGGATAGACAGATAGATAGATAAGTGGATGGATGAATGGATGGATGGATGGATGGATGGATAGATAGATAGCTAGATGGATAGATGCCTGGATGGATAAATGCCTGGATGGATGGATGGATGGATGGATAGATAGCTAGATGGATAGATGGATGAATGGATGGATAAATGCCTGGATGGATGGATAAATGCCTGGATGGATGGATGGATGGATGGATGGATAGATAGCTAGATGGATAGATGCCTGGATGGATGGATAGACAGATAGATAGACAGACAAATAGATGGATGGATGGATGGATAGATAGATAGCTAGATGGGTGGATGGATGGATGGATGGATGGATGGATGGATGGACAGATAGATAGGTGGATGGATGGATGGATGGATAGATAGATGGATAGATGCCTGGATGTATGGATGGATGGATGGATAGACAGATAGACAGATAGATAGATAGGTGGATGGATGAATGGATGGATAGATAGCTAGATGGATGCCTAGATAGATAGATATATGGCTGGGTAGATGGATAGATGCCTAGATAGATGGATATATGGCTGGGTAGATGGATAGATGCCTGGATAGATAGAGAGATAGAGAGATAGAGAGATGGATAGATGGATAGATAGCTAGATGGATAAATGGCTAGATGGCTAGATAGATGCATTGATCAATAGATGTATAGAATTATACATGTATAGATTTGTGCGTGGATGGATGAATGGATTGAAATAGAGATGGATAGAGAGATAGATGGGTTGACTTGTATATTTATGGATAGATGAACAGATGGATGGAAAGAGGGTTAGAGATTGATGTTTAGGGTGGATAGATGGATGCATGGATGGAGACACAGGCAGACAGATTGATTAATAGGTGCAGACCTTCATGAATGGATAGATGAATAAAGAGCAGATACACTGATGCATGAATGAATAGACCATTGAGATCATTGTGTTCACATAAACAAACATACAATAATCCCCCCCCCTTTCTCTCTCTCTCTTTCTCTCACTCTCTCTCTGCAGATGATAGAGACAGAATGCTTTAGTGACCTTAACGTGTTTGGGCCTCAGGGGTCGCGTCCCCCTGACCTGGACTGGACGCAGCCGCCAGAGCCGCCGCGGCGCAGCCTGCTGGACAGGATCTTTAGGAGACATGTGAGGATCTCCTCCTCCTCCACAGAGGAACAGGCCAGAGAACACAATAGTTAACTACAGACCAGGTCAAACACCCATTCAGGACATCACGCACTCATTCACTGTAACACAACCGCCCTGCACCCCCCCACACCCCCCACCCCCTCCACACATGCAGTCGTCCCTGTAAATGTTCCGGCAGTGGCAGCTTATTCACACTGTACCATGTAATAGCATCTCCCATATATATATATATGTGTGTGTTTGTATGTATATATATCAGTTGGCTGGCATTAAACTCTCCCACATTTATTGGTGCCAGAAAAAATTCAGTCAATAAAACCCTGATATTGCTTTGAGATGACATTCAAAACAAGGCATCGCCCACCTCTTATGTGATGATAGACGCCAGATCTTGCTTTTCTGTGGCTTTTGCTGATATGTATAAGAACGCTGGGTGCAGCAACTGCATGCGTGAAAGGAGGAATTTGGCAGCGTGACCAGAAAAGACAAAGGCATTATTTGGTTTGGTTCCCCACTTTACTCCCAAACGTAGTCGATCATCTAAGCCATGTCTGAATTTTTATTTTTATTTATTTATTTTTTATTTTTTTTGTGCTGGAGCTATAATGCTAATATACCTAACAAATAGACAAAAGTGTGGAAGACATTCAGGCTACCATTTTTAGCCATGCTAACATACTTTAGTCCATGATTACACAAAAACGACATAATCAAGTCTATTAGAGATTACTTAAGGGAATGCCTTGACAGTCATCCACGTACCCCAGATATAGTTGATCAGCCAAGAAATGTTTGGAGTACAAATTTTGCTTCTTTAGCTTAGAACTGAAGCTAACGGTGCTAAAAACACTAGAACTCAATAGTCACCCAAATAGCACAGATCGTTTAGCATCTAGGGCTTCATTAGGGGGAGACACAGGTTTGTCAGTGTGGTGTAGAGTACCGTATGGCTCACTGTGAGCTATAAATAAAACTGCAGGCAGCCACTTTAGACGAAGTCCTTATAGGAAAGTCTGTTTTCTCAGCAGCCATATTAGCAACGCCGCCGGGCAGTTATTTCCAGCCATACAAGACCAGATTCTTATCTCTTTGAATGGGGAGAGGCCAAAATACTACATATGAAATCACTGGTGAAATCTGACAAAAACATCATAAACACTTTGTAACGTTTGGCTCAGTAACACACAAAGGACTGTTAATAGTTTGTTTATCGACTCTTCCTCCCTCGCAGCATAACCAGCAAGTTGATTGGCTCTTTTTATCGAAGAGTGGGACTTTCTCCGCAAACAGACGCCATGTTGAGAGTTATGAGCTTTCCTATTCATATTTTAACCAGTGATCTGTCTCTTCACTTGTACCGTCTCTGCTTTAGACAACAGGGTCTGTTCACAACCACTGCAGGAGTCGGAGTGCAGATCTTGCGGATTTTGTTCATTTTTGTCGCTCACAGTAAGTCATACTGTGCTGTAAACCACGTCAACAGGTCTGTGGCGTCTTATTGAAGACCTGGTTGCAGGTTTGAGCGGGTTGAGAGGAGTTTTGGTGATTGTATTTTTACAGAGACGATTTGGGCTATTTGGGTGACTATTGAGTTCTTGTGTTTGTTAGCAGCGCTAGCCTTGCAGCACCAGTTCTAACCTAAAGAAGCTCAATTTTTACAAATTGGCTGACCGACTGCATCTGGGTTAAGTGGGTGTGTAAATTAGGTTTTTCGCCAAACTGCTCCTTTAACAGTTGAGGCCAGTGCATGATGCAAATTGGTCTATATTGGTGTGGTTCTGTTTCTAATTAGCTACATTAGCCTTGTAGCTCCAGTGTAAAGCTAAAGATGCAACCTTCAGGCGCCAAACATGTCTCAGCTGATCGACTGTATTGCGAGTAAAGGGGAAAACTAGACATGTAAATTACTTGGCCAGGCTATTTATGTCTGATGGGGGCTGTAAAGTCATCAGAATGCTTGAGATGCTGAAGCGGGAAACGAGTGTAAACTTCCTCTTATCCTTTTTCTCCTCCTTCTCTTTTCCAGCATCCAGAGGCGACCATCGCTCACAGCCGAGTCTCGTCTTCCAGCGTCAACTCCGTTGACTCCGTGTCAAACTCTGCCCCCTAGTGGACAGACGCCTGCGGGACTACAGGGAACAAGATAGAACGAGTGATATAAAGAGAGAGAGAGAGAGAAAAAAAATAAACAGAGAGAAACTCCTCCTGTCCTGCACAGTCTTTAGAGCACGGAAGAGGATTTGTTTTTATTTCCTCGTCTAGGCCGCTAACACTAACCTTTCGCGGCCCGCTGGAGGGCAGGAGACGAAACGACTCTGCTTTTGAGACGAAAAGAGACTTTCTTTTTTTTTTGTTGTTGTTTTTTTTTGTTTTGTTTTGTTTTTTAACTAAAGTCGAACTTTTACCCCTCACCTCATGCTCCCTCAGGATTGCTGGACCAGAATAAAAAAGAGCCACTGACAATGACGGAATATTAAACTCTTATTATTCAGGGGATTTTACTGACAAAAGAGAGGCCTCCACAGGGAATGGGAAGGGGGCTTTTTTTTCCCACCCTTCCGTTTTGGGAGGGAAAAGTGAACTGAAGAGACTTTACACACACTCACTAACACAGGCACTCACTCTCCCCCTCCTCCTCTTCCTCCTCCTCCTCCTCCTCCTCCTCCATCCCTCTCTTTAATCCCTTACCTTCTCTCCCGCCACAGTTCAGCTCAACAACACAATACACCTCCAACCTCAAACCCAAAATGTGCATTGCCTTGCATACACTCAGGCCAAAGATAGAACGTGTATTTGAGTATCTGGTTGCCATATTTTGTTCTGGAGAGCGAGGTAAGGCCTAAAAAAAAAGGAGAAAAAAGAAAAAACAAGCACAAAAAGATGAGCAGAACCTGGGCTAGTCGCTGTCTTTCAGTCATCCACACGCATGGATTTCTGTCCATGAAGGGATACTTGAATCAGGAAAGCTATAGTGGCTAACAGAGCTTGTGTAACGAGTGAAAGCTGAATACAGAAAAGCTAAGGTGGCTAACAGCTATAAAAAAGTGAAAGCTGAATACTTGATACATAAAAACTAAAGTGGCTAAAGATAAAGAAAGATGAATACAGAAAAGCTAAAGTGGCTAAAATTGCTAATGAGCAAAGAATTTGCTGAAAGTACCTGTTCTAGAAATGCTACGATGGCTAACGGCGCTTATGTTCCAAGCAGTAAGTGGAAGCTAAATACAAAAGGCTGAGGTGGTTAACAGCGCTAATTTTCTAATGAGCGAAGAATTTGCTGAAAGTACCTGTTCTAAAAATGCTATGATGGCTAACGGCGCTAATTTTCCTAGTAATGGGTGTAATCTGTATACAGACAAGCTAAGGAGGCTAACAGCTATAAAAAGTAAACGCTGAATACTTGATTCATAAAAACTAAAGTGGCTAAAGATAAAGAAAGATGAATACAGAAAAGCTAAGGTGGCTAAAAGCGCTAATGAGCGAAGAATTTGCTGAAAGTACCTGTTCTAGAAATGCTACGATGGCTAACGGCGCTTATGTTCCTAGCAGTAATTGAAAGCTAAATACAAAAAGGCTGAGGTGGTTAACAGCGCTAATTTTCCTAGTAATGAGTGAAATCTGTATACAGAAAAGCTAAGGAGGCTAACGGCGCCGTGAGGGGAAAAATATCTGAGTGCAGAGCAGCTAACGGCGCTAATGTTCCTAGCAGTGAGTGAAAGCTGAATACAAAGCAGCTAAAGTGGCTAACAGCTCTAGTGTTGAGTCAAAGCTGGATGCTTAATCCAGAAAAGCTAAGGTGGCTAACAGTGCTATAATATTCCTAGCAATGAATGAAAGCTGGATATTTTAGTCCAGGGAGGTTAAAATGACTAATGTTGCTAGCAATCAGTGAAAGCTAAAAGCGGCTAGTTAGCCAGAACTTGTTTGAGTAGTGCTAACCGCCCTCTGCTGGCTTTGCTGGCAACATTAGCAGCTTTTTTGGTGGTGTTTCTTAAAGCCACATAGTTTTTGGCAGCTCTGGTTTCGTCCCATCTGTAGAAAATAGGGGCGACATTAACACAGTTAAAGGACGTGCAGGAGTTCAGAATTTGGGACGTAGGCTAAGTTTCCATAGACCACTGTAGTCGTGCGTCATTCTGTAGTCCTCGTTATGCCCATGTTAGGAACTCCGGGTCTGAGCTCCATTTCTCTATGGCCAGAATGAATAGAGTTTTCGAAAAATCGCCTCTATCGCCCCCTGTGTTAAATAAAAATGTTCAGACCCCAAAACGTTTTGTCCTGTGAATATTCTCTCAAATACTACTGGATCCCATATATAGCCCATATTTACAGGTATACCTGTAAATAAAACACCTAGGTGGGATATTTTGATAGCCTAAAACTCCTTATCAAAAATACTACTAGCATTAAAACGGGGCTGAAGGCCTGAATGAGGCTGAATTCAGCTTCTTTTTTCGCAGCTTCTTCTTTAAATGTTCCCGTTCCACCTTAAATGGTGCAGCAGCTGTGACTAGCTGTCACAAACATTAGCAAATGAGTCAAAATACTGACCTGTTGGTTCTGTGAAACGGCAAAAATAAGTTAACGTTACTCTGTTAAGCGGAAATAGAGAAACTTCCTCATATCAGGCCTTTCAACCCTCCATGAAGCTGAAGTCGGCTTCTTTTTCACCGGCTGCTTGTTCGAATTTCCCCTTTCCACCTTAAATGGCGCAGCATTTCAGAACGTGACTGCTGCACCATTTAAGCGCAGTAGCTTTAGCTCACATGTAGCAATATTCATATTTCAGCTCTTTACGACGTCGTAATTCAGAGGATCCAGTGATATTCGAGAGAAGAATGTTCACAGGACAAAACATGTCGGGTTCTGAACATTTTTATTTAACACAGGGGGCGATAGAGGCATTTTTTCAAAAACTCTATTCGTTCTGGCCATAGAGAAATGGAGCTCAGACCCGGAGTTCCTAATATGGGCATAAGAGCATGGCACCGACTACAGAATGACCACACGACTACAGTGGTCTGTTGGAAGACATTTCACCATCACTTCCTGTATACAGGGCATTGGGAATGAGGGAGTTGCCAAAAGTGGAGACAAGCTAAGTGGGCGTGGCCTTGTTGACAGTGGGCGGGCCCTAAACCAGCAGATACATACACCAACACAGCACAAGAAGTCAATCAGGGAACTCCACTGTACTCATCTCATCGGTTCTGTTACCCCTACCAGTGCAGGGGGTACCACCCTTTAAAATAAGTTACAGATTCAGCTACAGACGCTGCTGCGTGTTCACCTGCGGACAGTCTTCACACATTAAATCCTCTCTGTGCTGCCCGGCTGGTTGCTAATGTAGAAAGCTGAATGGTTGGTATGTGTGTATGTGCCACAACCTGCAGTGCTGGAGCAAAACTGACTGATCGGTTTCTTTATCAATAAATAAAAAGAAGTATTCATCTAATAAGTAAGAGAAATCTACCCGTGTGAGTGTCATGACGGGGCTGGACGCTGACGTTCATCCACCACCACCACAACAACACCACAGCTGCCCCATCGCTCGTCTCCATCTGCAGTACAGTTGCCAGACGTAAAGTTAAAGGAATGCTCTAGTGTTTTTCAACCCGGTCTCGGTTTGATGCATCTGTATTGTATCATAAATTACCATGGAAGATAATTTCAGCAAGTGACTCTGTTCTTAGAAAACAGCTGAAAATTGTTCACTCACATCTCACTTATAGTAGAATCCAATGGGCAGTTGCTGAATTACTTGCCATAAGTCAGGTTTCGGGATACCCCTTGGTATTTGGGGGTCCCATGTATGTTGGCTACTCCAGTGTTGGCTAACTGCTTGCTAACGGCTTCACTGGCACCAAAATGTTTGGTTCAGCAGTTATTTCAGAAATGAGCTGTTATTGGTTGGTGATGAGGGTCTTCCTCACTCTTTCCACCAGTGTCTTGCAAAATTTGTCAAGTTTTTTAGATTTACCAATATGCTATGGTGTATTGTAATCTTTTTCAGAGGTATTCCGAGCATAGTTACGGTTGCTAGGCCATGAAGGACCACCAGGGTGAACTGATTTGCTACAGCGCCACCCTGAGGTAGACCAGTGCTGCATAGTTAGCTAAGAATATTAAAGACAGATGCTCGCCAGTCGTGAAGCAGGAAGAGTAATGAGCAATAACAATAGTATCTAGTCTAAGGGTCTAAGAGATTACTTAGGGGAGTCCCTGACCCCCAGGACCCCCCTTGTATTTCGCACATTGGCTAATGTGAATTCGAAAATATATCCTGTGATAATACAGAATGTTTTAACAGAGATGGTATGAAGTTTTTCCCAACAACTCAACACAGAAAAACAAAAACCAAAAATCTGGTTACTTTAACTTTCTCTAAGGTTTTCTGGCTTCCATGGCGATCAGAGTCTGTGGAAACTCCACCCACACGGCTACCCTAACTAGTCCTATATCCCATATCTGAAATAATGAATTATACATATTTACAATGTAAATTGTAAATATTCGCTAATAAATTCATCTTTCACAAATGTAAGGCTGAACAGTAAATCGTTTTTATATCAATCACAATTTGAAAAGAGTGTAACTTTAAAATCGAAAGAGCTGCAATCAGTTACGTCTTACATTATTAAAAGTTTTAAGTCAGGTAATTTAACCTAATAACACAGAGCTTGTGAACCCAAAGCGCATCGCAGTCTAAATATTGGTCAGAAAAATTGCAATTAGATATTTTCCTCAGATCATTCCTGCATCCCCAATGGCTTCTTTTATAAGTGAGTTTCACACCAAGTTTCAGAGCAACTCATTGAAATAATCATCCATGGTTATTGACCCTGTGCTGTAGATGCTGCTCATAGAGCTTCAGTTGAAAACCGGTGGACTTTCCCTTTAACAAGCGCTTTCCTTCCAGTATTGGATGTTTTCCGAACACCAAATGCCGCAGTCTTGCTCAAACTTCAGGTCTCAGACTTCTTACGTAGACGTTTCTCACCTGACTGTTTACATTCAACAGTAAACCAGGTCCACCTTAACCAGCATACCTCAGCACCTGAGCTCATTTTACCCATATTTCCATTCTGGTGTCATCACACGGCATGAAGAGGAAGATTCCACCAACTTCAGTGTTCCAGATGTGAGAACTCTCCAGCCGCAGTGCGTTCATAGCCCCGGACACATAGCTTTTAATGAGGATTTAGACTGAACCCCAGCTTGATCGGCCTTAAGAGTGACTGAGAGGAGCCCAAGATAGGTCAGATAACTGTGTGAAAAAGGGTAAAAAGGAAAGAAAAGAGCTGAACTACCCTTTAAAGCCTGGGTAATCTGTTACTGAAAAGTGGGTATAAATAAAATAAAATACTGGTGGTATTTGCCAGAATGCTAACGTCTGTTTCTAACAGACCACATGTTTTGAAAGCCTGTTTTACGCCTTCATAAACCCAGAAAGGTCCATCAGTACATATTTTCACTCAGACCCAGCTTTGCCCGCATGTTTAAATGTTTTTTCTTCCCTCAAGGGTGTTTTTTAAGTGCCATATTTGTTTGATTAGCAAGCTAAAGGTAAGGATTTTATGTATCGGTGCCATTAACCCAGACATTTGTAATCAATATTAACAGAAAATGATCATCCCCTACAAGAATACATGTAGTATTTGTTATGGGGTGGGAAACTTTTGGGGGTCCAACTTTTGGTATTTGTTGATAGACAGATGAACAATATTAGCCCACGCTAACAGGCTAGGTGCAAAGCTAGCTGTTTGGGAATGTGTAGGCTAATTACTTGTTTATTCCAATCGTATATCCTGAAAAGTACAGCTCGACGGAGGTTTTTGACACTGGACGGACTCCCGATGTACGAGAAGATACGAGCGACTTGTCCGGAGAGTGGCTTCTGTTTGTGTACAGGATTGTCACGTAGCTGTTAGCCTGTTAGCAGTGGTGAGAGTCTGTGTTGTGCCACAAATGGGGTTATAATGTGTGATGGTAGACTTTTAAGTGATTTTTTTTTAAAAAACGAGAGTTTATTAATCTTTTTTTATTATTATTATTATTATTATTAAAAAAAGACTTTTTCTCCCCTAGTTGTGGTGAGTATTCGGAAGTTACAGGGGGATTTCACAATGTTACAGGGATCGTTTTCCCGAGCCATTACTGCCTTGTGTTGTGTAGGCCTATTAGATTCGAGGAAGACTTTGACACAGTAGATCCAGTACCATCAGTCGTGACTGAAAAAAAGATGCATTGACCAGTTAGGCTGTCGTGTTAGGTGTTGCTGTTTTCATAGAGGCTATAGCAGATGTGTCCCCCAGTCGGAGGAGCGTTTATGGTGCATTGGTGGCTTTTATCGATCGCTGACGCTCTCCATATCGTGGCGAGGGCCTATCGACGACATGCGGTATCAAAACTACTGTTTTGTTTTATTTCTTTTCTCAAACACAAAGGAGAACGTCATTCCCCTGTGTCCTTATTTGGAGCATGAATACTTGGAGCAACTTCAATGCATTACATGTGTTTCACTCTATGTATGAAATAACGTGTTTTCCATTATTGCGATATGACAAATGATGATTTTAGCTGTTATGCTGCATAAAAGGGACATTGCCTTTTAATCAATGACCAAACTAAAAGGGAATCGGAGTGGTAATTAATTGCAGATTGGTTTCCCACCCAGAAGACGAGCCTCATATTGGATTCACTTTATTTTATTATTATTTTGTTTTTAATACGTCATATTACCAGAGTTTTAGCTACATTCTGAAAAATCCAATGAAGTGCCTCCTTTTTAGCAGTGTAGTCCAGGTAGTGCCCATGTTAAGGTTTGCACTTTGTGTGTCACTTATGTCATCGTCTGTGTCCGTGACACACACACACTCACGCACACACACATGCACACACACACTGACACGTGATTATTTTAAGAGAGAGGTGTTGTTTGTTCTACGCTGATTGCATGTGAAGCCAAACCTGTCAAAGTCCTTCTGAATAAAACCTGTGCTGGCCTGAACAGGAGTGTGTGGGTTCTTTCTGTGTGTCTGTTTAAAGGGGAACTCCACCGAATTTTCCAAAGTTTGTATAATTCAGTGATTGAGATGTACACGGAGTGATTCAGAGTGGTTTGGTGTGAAATGGTTCAGATGTCTTTACAGTGGTGGTGATAGGAACCAGGGGTCGCCATGACTACAACACAAATATAGACATTTTATTTACTATCCAAAACCACCAGTGAACATACACGAGTCTTCTGCGTTTATATGGAATGTTGATGATGGAAAATAGTGGAGAATCTGAATCTATTTTGCCATGAGTGGATTTTAAAAAGAAATATTTTAGAAAATTTACTCTACAATTATAGGCCACAATCATCTTAAATTGTAAAAAAAAAATGTCTCCGCCATCATTCCTAACCATTTCATGTAAAAAAATTCTGGATGTCTGGTTCCTATCACCACCACTGTGAACAATTCTGACTCGCTAAGTGTCTCTAGAACAATAATTATATGGAAATGTTTTTAGTTTTTAAAAAATGGTGGAATTTCCCTTTAAGGCCTGACTGCTAGTAGGGATGTGCAAGCCAACTAATTTTGACATTCAAGTATCTGAAAAACGGAATTTGGCTGAGGTGACAGGGCAAATTACACAAAATCTGCTTTACTTAGTTGAGGGTTACACTTAACTAATTAAGTCTAAAACCTGTGGGTCAAACATTTAAAGAAGAATTCCAACATTTTTCCAACTTTTCTGCATAATTGCAGATGTAAACCAAGTCATTCAGAGCAGTGGTGGTGATAGGAACCAGATGCAGGGTGCTTTAAGGCAAAGAATACCCTTGGCAGGACCACAGGACTCACTGTTAGGTCATAGCTTAAGTCCTCCTTGTATCTACACTCACTGTCTGCATACGTTGTTTGCCCCCTTTTACCCTGTTCTTCAGTGGTCAGGACCCCCATGGACCCTCACAGAGCAGGTACTATTTGGGTGGTGGATCATTCTCAGCACTGCAGTAACACTGACATGGTGGTGGTGTGTTAGTGTGTGTTGCGCTGGTGCGAGTGGATCAGACACAGCAGTGCTGCTGGTGTTTTTAAAAACCTCAGTGTCACTGCTGGACTGACCATAGCTCACTAACCAAAAACAGACTACAGTCTGTAAGTGTAGAACTTTAAAATGCTGCTATACGGTCAGTGGAGCTGATAAAATGGACAGTGAGTGTAGAAACAAGGAGGTGGACTTAATCAAGTGCCAGTCAGTTCATTCTCTAGTCATAATTGTCTCAAGACGTTCTATCTGATGAAAATGATCTGAACTATTCAGTTAAATAGAAACAAAAACATGGACATCGTGTAAATAAAGCAAAGCGCTGCTCTCATGAAGCATCAAAAGTGATTTAAGTGCTAATGGCACCCCCTTGTGGGGGATTTGTCAGCCTGCTAAAAGTGAGTGAGTGAGCCAGGTCCATGAGGTGCTTCACATCATTAACAAATTTCAGTTATGTTGCTCTCTCGCATCTCTTTAGCATAGTTTGAACAAATGTGCTAACGTGGCTAATAGTGTGTAGATGCTAACGTCACCAGTCTTCTGCACAATGCTCATTCATTTCACTCATAGCAACACTAGCATTCAGGAATTCTTTGACACCAAAAAAGGAGACTTTTCTTGCCAATAATAAGGCATTACATTCCACTATACTAAGCATGTATAACTGCAACTTAATGGGTGAAACTGGGTCATCTTGTCCTCTCCTGTGAGCGCGGCAGAGGTCAGATGGACAAGGTCTGAAGTATAAATGATGTTTTGGAGCTTGATGGACACAAGGTCGGAGGTTAAGGTAACTTTACCCATGAGCCTCACTCATTTTCCCCCATCAGACGCTGCTCAAATGTTCTTGACCATGTTGACTCTAGGTCAGAGCAGATTCCGACTCATTAAGCTAATATTTTCCAAAGACTGCCAGAGCCAAAGCTGGGTGCTGGGGACCAAGGCTGGCCGTTCTTCCATTTACGCAAAAAAAAAAAAGGATGAAGTGGGATGAGTGTGCTGCAGCTAATGCTGCGTTTATTGGTGTGGGAACATGCGATAGTCTGGGAACTTTCTGGAAGGCTCATAGCAGCGGCCTGTTAGCAGCGTTTTCTTCCTAAGCAAGCTTTGTTTGTAAGGGAAGGGAACTTTTTCAAAATGTTTCTGTAATTAAATTAAGATGTAATCAGAGTCGTTCAGAGTGGTTTGGTGTGAAACGCTCTGTTCTAGAGAAACTCAGTCAGAACTGTTCACAGTGGTGGTGATAGGAACCAGACGTCCACCTCTAAAAGCTCCCTCACAGAAAGTTACTACATGAAATGGTTTTGAATTCACTGCCTGATGACTGAGACACTGTTTTATATATGTTTATATGTTTATATGTTTCACACCAAACCACTCTGAACGACTCTGTTTACATCTTAACCATTTAATTATGCAGAGAAAGTGAAAAATGGTGGAGTTCCTCTTTATTCCTCTTTAAATGTTTGACCCTGAAGTTTTGAACTTAATTAGTTTAGTATAACCTTAAAGCAGATTTTTTGAAAAATGGTGGAATTTCTATTCAAATGTGAGTTTTGACACTAAGAATCAGAATCAAGCTTTATTGGCCAGGTATGCTTACACATGCAATTTGGTTTTAGTTACAGGAGCTCACGATGCACAGTATCAAACATTTACACGTAGTGAATAAAATAAAATAAAATAAATATAAAATAAAATACAATAAGATAAAATACAAAAAAAAATAAAGATAAAATAAAACATGCATTCCTACCATCACTCACTTATACACACACATACCTTTACATTGTGCAAAGTAAAACTAAGGAAAGCTGTTAAGAAGTTCAGTGCAATATGCCCTAGTATCCCCTTAGCTTGGGCAACTATATGTCTAATTTTCTTTATTCAAGATGTTTTAGGCATTTGGAAAAACTTTATGCTCTTTTTCCCCCTTTTATCTAGAAACTTCATCTCAGTTTGGCTTCCTTGACCTTTCGACACAGTTTCTAAATTGCTCTGGATGAGACTGTGTGCAAAATAAATAAACTAAATCAAAATAAAATGAAGTACATTTTCTTTGCTTCTCCATATTAATGCTCATGGTTTTGCACTGGGAAATCCAGCGAGCTTATCACTGTTGTTGGAAGAAAACCTCTCCATTTTTGATTTTTTTTAGTTTTTGACATAATTTGAAAATATCTGTTGTCCTTTACATTGTATATAAATTTCATGATGAATGGACCAAAAGAAACGACCCAAAATGACTTGGAAAAATGTCTGGTTCCATTGACTTACATTAAAAGTAAAGTATGTTTTTTCCTTCTCCTGTAAAGTTACCATTTTGGAGATATGAGGTTTTCATCCGACAACAGCGACATAAAGGTGTGATGTTTGAGTGTCCACATACTTTTGGCCACATAGTGCATTTTAAAGTTGTTTAGACTGCAATCTACAGCCAGCCAGACAGAGTAGTGCGTGTGAGCTAACTAGCCGTGTTCCCAGTGGACAGTGTTCAGGTACTGGCCGTTATCTGAATCTGGGGTATTTTCATTGAGCTCGTCATGTTCGCTCTGGATCCTTGAGCCACAAGGCCACAGTGGGTAAAGTGATGCTGTTGTTTCATCTGTGAGGTAACCGCTCCGTGTCCTTGCCTCAAACACAGCTATAAAGAGCCCGAGGCCCCCCAGGTTCCTCATAAATCCCTTCCTCGCCTCGTTCAGTCCACATCAGTGACCAGATTCCTTCAGTGTATTTAGCACAGCTGGACAATGCTGCCCGCAACTTTCAAACTGTGCGCCGGCATCTCCTACAAGCACATGAGGAACATGACAGGTAAGGAGAAGATCACCTTTACTCAGTGTTTATTAGGCCGCTGAAATGATTTTTGGGAAAATGTAATATATCTTAATGTAAACATTCATTTGCATTGAAATACGCCTTTATAAACTCATAGCAATGTTTAGGTCTGTAAGCGGTTTGAAGGTTTTATACATTTTTATAGCTTATAATAATGAATATTTGTGTTTTTGGTGCTGCTGCAACCTTGCAGTTGCCCTCTGGGTTAATACATTCATAAATTGGTAATTAATAAATGACTGTATGTATTAATTCAACTCAGTGACGTAATTTTTTATCTTTTCCCATTGCAAAAAAATGAATAGGTCCCTCAAGACAAAATTTCAATGAATAAAAAATGACACTGTAATTTATGTTGCTATGTGTTATTCGTAAGTGAAGTTATGTATTATGAAGGTTAGATTAATACAGTTAGAGGAGCACAGGTTTGGTTCCTGACTTGCTCGCTGATCTTCAGCCACTGTATGGATTTGTTCAGTTCCATCAGCAGCACCTGATTTACTTTAATAAAGACCTGATTAGATAAAACATGTATTGGATGGTGGCTGTCAAATCACAGTTGGTTTATTTGTATTTATTCTAATCTTAGTGAACAAATAAACACTCACTGTCCAGATTAATGGCTTAACAGATCATTTTCTCAGATGCTTAAGACTATTGCACAGTAGTGTATCACTCCATTTTTGTCATTTTTCAGTTTTTGACATAATTTAAAAATGCCTGTCGACCTTTACATTGTCTGTAAATTTCATGATGAATGGACCAAAAGAAACGGCCCAAAATGACTTGGAAAAAATTCTGGTTCCATTGACTTACATTAAAAGTAAAGCACGTTTTTTCCTTCTCCTGTAAAGTTACCATTTTGGAGATATTGGAGATATATACGAGGTTTTCTTCTGACAACAGCAAAATATTATATTATCATTTATTTACAATAAGAATTGATTCCAAACTGTATGAATGTATCATGTGACACCAAATTGCCCACCTAAGTAACTAACTGACTAACCCATCCGGGAAGTATGACAGTACTGTAATCAGCTCAGTCACTTCAACACTCCAGTGTAAATAATCATCCATTCACTCTTCAGTATTTTCAATACTTGGACAAGTGAAGCTGCTTTTTATCAGCCTGAATGGAAACTACACATGTAAGTATGCAGGAGGGGTTTTGTTTACATATTAATGGGTGAAGCTGCATGGTGCCCTAGTTTAGTTCATCCTTAGTGCCGCTAGCTGGGATGGTTCAACTGACAGGTCAGGTCCGGTCAGGCTACTGGCCGGAAAATCTCCCAGTACTCCCAGTGGGCAGTCTAAGTCTGGAGAAGCCCTAAAAAAATATATGAGGGCGTTGGTTGCCACAGGGCCCCGTCCACCATGGGCCTTAGTGCAACTGCCACCCCCAGTTATGCCCCATGTGCAATATATACCCCCTGATATTCACTGGCTGCTTGTTCAAATTTTCCCGTTCCACCTTAAAAAGGCGCAGCAGTTCAGAATGTAACCATTTAAGGTGGAATGGGAAAAGTCTAACAAAAAGCTGGTGAATGTCCTCAGAGAAAAGTTACCAGCATTAAAATAATAATTAGGATAATCTGAGAGCCGAAATCAGCTGATCAGGGGGTATTAAGCTTAGTCTGTACTGGATCAGCCTGAGTGCAGTACGTTTGTAGATCTTTTCAAATCAAGCTAAAGGAAAGATCTACTGTGTTTCAGTGAGCATCAGATGAAGAACAGAGAACTGCAGGGAAACCTGCTGATTTTGTTTTGTCTTCTGTTCATCTGCCCTCAGTCTGAACATGGAAATGTACACTGACAAAGCCTGATTAAGGAGGCTGCCAGTCTAATGACGTGAACTCAGTGCGCAGTAGCTTCAGCTCACATGTAGCAATATTCATATTTCACCTCTTTAACGACCTCGTAATTCAGAGGATCCAGTGGTGTTAGAGAGAAGAATGTTCACAGGACAAAACGGGTTCTGAACATTTTTATTTAACACAGAGGCGATTTTTCAAAAACCCTATTCATTCTGGTCATAGAGAAATGGAGCTCAGACCCGGAGTTCCTAATATGGGCATAAAGCATGGCGCCGACTACAAAATGACCACACGACTACAGAAGTCCATGCTGGCTGGCTACTCCAGCATTGACTGGCTGCTAACTCACTCGCCATAGCGGCTCTGATGCTTCAATGGCAGTAAAATGTTTGTTTTATCAGCTGTTCTTCTGTAGAGTCTCTGTTCTAGTGCGGTTCTGCGCTCTTCCTCACATCAACTGAGATCTTCCTCGTCTCCTCTTCTGTCTTCAGTGTGAGAAATGAGGAACAGTCACTCTTCACTCCAAACTCTTGGGAAACTGGGCGAGTTTTCAGATTTACAGATCTGCTGCAGCTCATTGCAAAGTTTTTCAGAGGAATCTGGCAGAGTTACAGTTTCTAGGCTGTGAAAGACCAACTGGGTGAACCAGTCTGCTACAGCGCCACCCTGAGGCAGAGCAGTGCTGCAGCTCTAGTTAGTTAAGAGCACCAGAGACAGAAGGTGATTGTGGGCGAAGCAGATAAACAGTCTGGATTTGAGCATGTTTTTCCTTAACAGACTGGAACGTCATAGTAGGTTTATTGTCAGGGACCCCCAGAATTTTGATTTTGAGACATTCAGGAGGTCCAAGAGGTCAATGAGGGGTTCTTGGACCCCCCAGCAGCCCCTGTATTTCACACCTTGGTTACGCTACTGATGTATCTCTCTATCTGTCTGTTTTTGATGTAGGTTTTTTGAAGATTTGTTCATTTAGGAAAGGAAATTTAAATTTGTTAATTTAATAAAGGCTAACTGGTGCATTTTAAGGTGTCTGTGTTTCACTGAATTCCTAATCTGACGCTCTGTATATTCGAACCTACGTGTATAGAATTAAATGAAATTAAAATGTCTTTGTTTGTTTGTAGGCCTCAGGAGGAACGCTATGATGGCCATTCACCACGAGCTGAGTAAGCTCTCTGAACCCGGCCCCAGCATGTGGGTCCAACACATCCGCCGTAGGAGCTCGCTGCTCAGTAAGACCCCCAGTCAAAAAGAGGAATGTGTTTAAATCAGCCTGTGGGCCGGTTTTACAGGTTTCTCAATGAGCTAAATAACTTAAGCCTACTTTTTGGACACACAGTGTATGTCAAATCCATAGATGACTGGTAGATTTGACAAAATTTGGCATGTCTGTGCCACACCGTGTCCTCTGAGCGTATTTGTGTGTGGTCGTCCACAGGCAGCAGGATTCAGGAGGAGACGCTGAGCGAATCTGAGCAGTGTTATGTCCAGCAGGGTCAGCTGGCCCTACAGAAGTCCGTCAGCATCCTGAGCGACCAGGACGGCTGGCAGACCGAGATCGAGACAGTACGTGTCACTCACTGACTGTATGTTTAATGTGGTGTGTAAAAGTTTGTGCACCCCTGGTCAAATTCCATACGTAGTTGATTTTCTGAGTGTAAATAAGTCACACGTCCTCAGCAGAGACACACTTCTGCTCACTGTAATGCACAATTACTCATGTTTGTTTACTGAATTTAACATACTGGCAGAAACGACACGCATAAAATGTAGCCTGCGCAACATTTAAGGCACATTTTATGTTTTATGTTTAATGTTTTCAAATAGGTTAAAGTCAACAAATACATGGAAATTGTGCACAAAAAATTGCAAAAAATGTCATATTTAATGTTGGACTCTGTAGAGGAATTTTTATCATTAAGAAAATGAGCAAAATGTATAAATTGACCAAACTGTTGTGTATAACCGTGTACCCGAATGGCCCACTCATAAACATAGTCCACGGTGCGACTTCAAAACGTTCCACTCTGTTTAATAATTCATAGTAGTTACTGAACAATTCATAATAGTTCTAAATAATTTACCCAGTTACTGAATAATTCATGGTAACTACTAATTTATTCATAGTAGATACTGAGTCATAAGTCTTAAGATCATTCATTGATTTATAAGCCTAGGATTTAAAGTGAACTGTGTACCCCACAGTCCACTCATAAACATAGTCAACGGTGTGACTTCAAAATGTTCCACTCTGTTTAATATGAGCTTTTATATGATGTAAAAATGTTCAAGGACAATAATTACGCTACACTGTTTTACCTACAATTATATGCACACAATTGGTTTCATTATTTTGGTATGGTTTATAATTATTTTAAAAAATACTCGGTATATTTTACACAGTAGTGGGCAAAACTAGCTTTTGGTGAGATTTTTACATTTAAAAAAATCCTGAGAATTTTATTTTGGTCAAAAATGAGTGCATACTTCAATGAATTTTATTATGAGCAATTATAAGTGATTATAACACTCCAAAATTGATGCAGCCATATTAACCACTTTAAGATCAGTGCATTTTACACCCTGAGCCCTTTTAAACCACTGCGTTTTCATATGATATCAAATGAAAACACCTTAAATCTAGTCAATATGTCTAATATTTCTCATTAAGAGATTGTAAGAATATTGTTGAACCTATTTCCATACATGTCTTGCGGGTCATGTGGGTTTATTTCGGGTTTTTGATGGAGGTCTGACCTGCTGTTTTGCTCTTTCTCTCTCAGTCCACAGGGGATAAAGTGCTGAGTAAGGTTCTGCCAGACGTTGGGAAGGTGTTTAAGCTGGAGGTCACTCTGGACCAGCAGTCTGAAGACCTGTACGAAGAGCTGGTGGACAGAATGGAGCAGATGGGGGAGTGGAACCCCAACGTCAAACAAGTGAAGGTGGGAGAAACTGAGTCAGTGATGCTGGATAAACTGCTATACTAATATCATAGATAGTTATTAAAGCTTTAACCACTTCAACCCCAGCCTTATTATTCACTTACTAATCTTAAAACATATTATTCAGAATCTATAACGAATTATTTAGTAACTTTTATAAATTATTCAGTACCTACTAGGAATTATTTAATATCTACTATGAATTATTCAGTATCCACTATGGTTTATTCAGTAACTACTAAGAATTATTCAGTAACTACTATGAATTATTTAGTGTCTACTATGAATTATTCAGTAACTACTATGCATTATTCAATGTCTATTATGAATTATTCAGTAACAACCATTAATTATTCAGTATCTACTATGAATTATTCAGTAACTACTATGAATTATTCAGTAACTACTATGAATTATTCAATGTCTACTAAAATGATTCAGTATCTACTGTGAATTATTCAGTATCTATTATGGTTATTCAGTAGTAGTTCAGCAGGTGTCTCTATCTCTCAGATTCTACAGAAGATCGGTCAGGACACCATGGTCACTCACGAGACGGCGGCGGAGACTCCGGGGAACGTGGTGGGTCCGCGGGACTTTGTGAGCGTCCGCTGTGTCAAACGGAGAGGCTCTGCCTGCTTCCTGGCCGGGATGTCCACCCAGCACCCCAGCATGCCTGAACAGAAGGGGTTTGTGAGGTGGGCCAAAGGCTTATGTAAACACCTAGTGAACATCTGTGTTAGATCATTGGTTCCTAATTAAAGTACAGGGACCTCCACGTTGCACATTGTTGTGATTTCCCTCGTGTAGCACACCTGATTCAACTCATTAACTCATTAACAAGCCGGGTCGGGTAGGAAAAACACAGGACCGTGCAGAGACTGGAGTCCTCAGGGCTGGAACTGGGAATCACTGTTAGATTGCCATGGATTTTTCAGAGAGTTTCAGTTCGACGTCCAGACGTGGAGCTTGATTAAATGCAGATCAGTCAATAAATACACTGTAAAGCCACTGGAAGAGAAATTAGCCCCTTAAGTCTGTAGGAGGGTCCACCCTTCAATGTCCCACTCTCATATCAACCAGATTCAATAAGAATTTTAATCAGATATTTGATATTTTCTGTGCTAAAATTCTACAGAGCTGTTCTACGCAGGTTGGTTTAGCTCAGATGTTCTCCAGTAGAACCTTTTCAGTGCCTGATGTGCCTCTAACAAAATGAACCCCAAAATCACAACCTCTAGAATTTGTAAGCTCTTCAGAATAAGCCAGCCATTGGAGTGTGGGTGTGGGTGTGTCCCTAGCCTAGGCACCCCCCCATCCCCGCCCCTTTTGATCTGATATCAAAATCCAGATGTCTGATCACTGACATTGTTTTCCACAAAAGGCAGTAAATATGAGACACTCAGAAGAGAGCGAGGGGAACAAAACGTCACCTCCAGTTTGTAACCTCAGGATATTGTTTTGAATGTTAATGTTTTCAATTTATCAATAATGTTTTGAACTTGTTACATTACAGATTAGTTTCATAGTAGACACTAAATAATTCACAGTAGATAGTGAATACTTTATAGTAGTTACTGAATAATTCATAGTAGATACTGAATAATTCATAGTGGATATTGAATAATTTGTAGTAGATACTGAATAATTCATAGTGGATACTGAATAAACCATAGTAGTTACTGAATAATTCATAGTAGACACTGAATAATAACTGAATAATACTTTTATTGAATAATTCATATTAGTTACTAAATATATAATAGTAGATTCTGAAATGTATAGTTGTTAATTAATAATTCAGTGTAGATCCTGTAATAATTCATAGTAGTTATTGAGTAATTCATAGTAGATACTAAACAATTTACAGTTGTTACTGAATAATTTATAGTAGTACTTCTGAATACATTTTATTGTACTGACTTAATAATTTATAGTGAATACTAAATAATCCATAATAGATGCTTAATAATTCATAGTAGATACTGAATAATTCATAGTAATTACTAATTTATTTACAGTAGATACTGAATAATTCATAGTAGATACTCATTAAAATGTCTTAAGATCATTATTTGATTACTAAGCCTGAGATTTAAGGTGATAACTGTTCACTCTTCTTTCTTAACCCCCTGTGTTCATGTGTTTCCTCTCTCAGGGCGGAGAACGGCCCCACCTGTATCGTGTTGAAGCCGAGCACAGACGATCCGAACAAGACAAAATTCACCTGGTTGCTCAGTTTAGACCTGAAGGTGAGACTGTATGAGGTTTTTTTACTTTCTATAATGGATCATGATGTATTGGGGCACTTTAACTATTAAACTATAGATGCTAATATTATTATTTTTTATATTTTACTTTCAATGTGTTGAAAATTGAATAGAGAAAATCTAAATATAAGGAAGAAAAAAGAAAACAGAACATAGAGGTAATGCAACGTCACCCCCTCCATTGTCCCGCCCCTTCATTTCCCCTTTTTTTCATCAATCATCTGTGTTTACTGCAAATTTCACAAGAATGACAAGTTTAGAACAGTTTCTGTCTTTAAAGAGATGAAAAAGTTAATGAATGAATGAATGAATATTGTGTCTTCTCTTCTTTATTCAGGGTTGGATCCCTAAGACAGTCATAAACAGGGTGCTCTCTCAGACGCAGGTGGATTTCGCTAATCATCTCCGACACAGAATGGCCTCCAGCAGCGGCATGGAGACGGCAATGGCCTGTTGACACCAAACACACAACGTTCAGAGTCTCACATTCACCCCACAGCCAATGGCAGTTTCCTATCAGACACACAAACTCCACCCACTTGTTGCAGTCAATTCCTTTCTCAAAAGCATTATAGTTAAACGATGTCATGGCCTCTATGCTAGTCTAGTTAGCAGGGCTGCACAATATAGACAAAATACCATACTGGGATATATGCTAATTGTTATGAAAATGGCAAATTGCATTGATATAGTGCACATTATGGACAAAATGTGATATTACAATGTTAATTGTTTTTAAAATCCCAAATTGTGATTATTTACTGCATGACATGAACAGAATATCATACTGCAATAAAATTGTGATGAAAATACCATATTGCAATGTAAACGTTATTAAAATACCACATTGAGATTACATGCTGCATGATATGGATAAAATATCATACTTTGGTATAATTGCAAGTAAAATATCATATTTTCATTTTATAGCTGCATATATTGTCATACGCTGTACAATATTCCAGAGTACATTAGTAGAGTCTTGATGTCACATGGTAAAAAAAATTGGCTTTTATTATTTTAAACCAAAATTATTTGTGTGCTGGATTAAGGGAATGCATGATTCATCAAAACTCCCACAGAAACAGCTGTGGTTGGTCAGGATGCTCACAGGAGTGATTGGACAAAGGAGTGATTGGACAAAGGTCAATATTGTAGACTTTTACAGTATCAATATAATATCATGATAACAATTAGCCAACAATATGTTGTGCAGCCCTGGTGTTTACATAATCTGAGATAGTCTTGAGGTGCTTGATAGGTGCCTAAATTGTAGAATACATCTGAAAACAGCTCTGTTAACGTCCTGAATTCAGTGCGTTTGTACGTTTGCTGAGCACATTGTCTTGTATCTGAAGTGAGATGGCTTAAAACATATTCCTTAACTCTGCATAATACACCCCCAGTACAAATGGAGATGTTGGAAGTGAGGTAAATTAAAGCATTCAGTCATTTTAACACCTACTTCTGCTGTAAAACACACAAACTGTGACTAGTTTCTGTATGTATGTAAAAATGGATATTTATTTCAAGTTTATGTCATTGCATTGTCCTGTTTAAGGATGTCTGCTCAATGAATAAACCACGAAAGTGCACCATTTCTGTTGGGTTGGCGTATTTGTCTCCTAAGGTACTGCTCACGTATAATAACATGGCCTTCAGAGGGAGCAAGAAGTATGTTGTTTTGACTGGAGTCTGACTTTAACAGTTAGAATAAGGAAATGGAGGTGATTATCTTGACTGACAAACTTTGGCCCAACACCAGACACTCGGGCCGTTATATAATGGCATCCGGCTGTGGAATTGAGACGGCTACGAAATACATTAACCAGCATTTTGTGACGGTTATTCTACTTTCATAAGCACCTCATGAATGTTCATGTAAACGAATCGAGCTAGGCCGGGAAGGCGACTCCATTTTGAGTTAGGAATTATCCATAAAAACTTCTCCTCGTCTGGAGTGGATTAGCGCTTGTTTGCCAGAGCGAGCAGGTGTTTGGCTATTGGCGTGTGTGCAAGGAAGTTCTCAGCGCTTTGAAGGCCTGTCTGGGCCAACGTTTCACATACCAGGAAATGAAGTAAACACCGAAGTTCTGGCCAAGGGAAGGACACCCCGCACTAATGGCTTTCACATTTTCCAGTAGGCTAGGCCGGTTCGGGCTGCTCTGAGGAACACTGAAAGCAAGAGAGAGCCACGAAATTAATTATTCTATTTGGCTTACCAGTTTAGAGACTTCTTTTCATTAGACACTTTGAAGTCTGGGCAATGCAAGCTCAAAAATAACAGCCAGCACATGTTAGCAGTTATTCCAAACATGGGAGTTTGTCACAGACTGTTAGCAGTTATTACAAACTGTGGGTGCACGTTTAGACTATGCTATACACTATTCAGTCTGTGTTGTGAAATATAAATACTTTATTCTATCTTTCTTTGTGCTGGACATAAGCCCATCCCGGCTAGAAAAACCTGCAGAGACCAGCCCAGCAAAACCAGCGTGTGTTTTGTTTTGGATGCTAGTATGCTAGTCAACCAGCATGACCATACTGGGGGACCAGCTAAACCTAGCACTAGACCAGCCTATAACCAGTTTAGACCAGCATGAAATACATGGTGAACTCAATTAAGTTAGCTGAATGTGAGAATGTTCACAAAAAGGCCTAATTTAGTACAATTAGCATATGTAAAATGAGTTTAATTCCCAGAACATATACGATTCTTAATACACAGATATACATACCTAAGTTTAAAGCATGTTTATGTGCACTAATTTAAGATAAGGCTTCAATACCGTTAAATGCATACTGTTAACATGACTAGCGGAAGCGTTTTTTTTCTTTGGAGAGGGGGGAAAGACTACATTTCCCATGAGGCCTCATCAGCTGCTCTCGCTGTAGAAGGGGGAAGGGGAGCCGAGATTGGAGGGAGACGAGAGAGAGGTAAAAAAAAATATATAATGCGATTTTAATCCATCGTTACAGCCTGGAAAAGTCGCTTTTGCGCAGAAGAGCAAATTTATTCGTGGTTTGCAAAGGACTAATTGCGGAAAACGTAGCGAACCTGCGAGATAAGCAACGAGAAAACGGAATAGGTAGCGTTAGCCAGTTAGCCGAGATTGGTTACCAGCCAGCAGATTTGATACACAGAGCGGGGGAAATGCGATTAAACCTGCTCTGTTTATTTTCTACAAGCCTTCTTTTTTAAAGGTTTTATACATCGATTTAAATGCGTACATTGTAAGCTGTTCGTTTTACTTGCGTGCCAGCTTTGGGTTTAGTCAGTCAGCTTCTTATTCGAATCTCCCCGTTCCACCTTAAACGGTGCAGTAGTAACGTTCTAGCGCCTGAAGCGCCAATACGTAACTACTGCGCCATTTAAGGTGGAACGGGGAGATTCGAACAAGAAGCTGGGGAATAGAAACCCAACTTCAGCTTCGTGGTTTTTAGCCCGTTTATGGTTAATATAAGCAGTTTTCTCACTGTTAAACAAGCGTGGCTGCAGATTGACAGCGCATTTGTTGGTCTTATATCTCTAAGCCGGCACTTATCTGTCTGTATTTGCAGTGCTGTGAGGCAGCATAGCTACATAAAGTGGTTGCCAGCTGGGTATTAATGCTGAAATGATGTGCACGATAAGGGAAAATATGTTGTGTAGATGTAAGCGAGGTATTAGTTTGCATGACTGACATCCAGGCAGTTTATTCTGCACCTGCACGATACAGTTTGTATGCGAATGTGCTGGAGATTATAGGTTGAGAAGGAGGTGCTGCTTTATTTTTGCGCTTTTGCTGTCTTAAATGCCCGTTGATGAAGGAAATAAGTGAGCCTGAGTTGCGTCGTATTGATTTTATTGTAGGGTTGAGGTTGGCAGAAGGTGACGTCACCCCTACACCCCCCCTTACCACCACCACCACCACCACCACCACCTTCCCCAAACAGTGCAATAAGAAAGAGTCAGGTGGTGGGGGGGTGGGGGTGGTGAGCAAACCCCCTCCTTATCTCTTCACTTCACACACAGTGATGAGGTGAAAAACTGGATTAACATCGTTATGGAGCTGATTTGCGATTGATTTGGTCCGTTTCTGATCCGAGAGAAGGGGAGAGAGAGGAAGAGAGAGAGCGAGATGCAGCCTTAGGTGGATGACGTCATCCCTAAGATGCCTCTGCATGCAAAGGCAGCTCACCATTCATGCACTTATAGTGCATGATGCCATCCTTTATGTGGCTCTGGGGGGGTTAGACCACTTTTCTATGCCGTTTGGAATATATTAGAGCGTGTAAAAAACACTCCTTTGACTCTCTCGTGTTATTAGAGCAGCCGCTTTCATGCCGATTTACCTCCGTCGTCACCATAAACGCAATAGGAATAGCCTTTGCTTTGCATTCGAGTGCCAAAAAGACTATTTGACCAGCATTGGAATAGTTATATTGGGCTTTTATGCGTATTTACAAGATTCTCCTTCAGTCTGTTCGCAGGTGCTCGTGCTCATCGGCTGCTGTCTTTGTTCCTGAGGTGCAGAAGTGAGGCAGTGAGGAACTCCCATCCTGCTCAAGTCTCGAGTTTGATCGCTGGTGCCAAGTACGACTTGGCACAGCTTGGCGCCGACTTGCCATTTAGCTTCTCTTGTGCCAAATATCTGCTCTCTGTGATTTCTGGTGCTGGGGCGGCAAGTGTACCAGCACGGGAAATGCTTTTCTACCTGCCGCCGTCTGATTGGCTTGTTCGGCCACAGTGAAGAAGCCCATAACCTTCGTCCATCAGCTGTGCATCATTGCCTCTGGTAAGCCGAGGCAGGGCTTGGCGAAAAGGACCGATCCCGGATCCCAGAACTGAGTCTCAGCTTCAACCGGTGGCAGTCCAGGTAATGAGCTTTCCGCTCCTGCTTGCTCACTAAGTCACAAAAGTGCATCTTAATTGAAAACAGTGCGTGCTCAGTGAAATGCCTCTGCCCTGCAGCCTCTCCTGAGAGCCATTTGAATGACCGCGCTGGATGAAGATATCATGAAGGTATCCAGTCGAAGCACCATGCGTGTTAAATGGGGAATGGTTACTGGTGGCTCAGGCTGCAGCATGTCCGCACACTAGCAGGACACTGGGACACTCGTCAGGACTCAGGCCATGGAAGGGGACGTCGCAGTTGTAGTCTACTCAGAGGTTTGTACGACTTCGGTGAGCTTTGATGGTCCCAGTTAGTCGTCAGCGATGTTGAAGAGAAAAGCTGTAATATTCATATGATCCACACAGTCATTCTGACGGACTGTAATACACTACAGGAAGTGTAGGGGGCAATATGGCTTCTACTGTTTCATTTAAAAAGCCTCTATAATGTTCATATGATCCACACAGTCATTCTGACAGACTGTAATACACTACAGGAACTGTAGGGGGCGACATGGCTTCTACTGTTTCATTTAAAAAGCTCTATAATGTTCATATGATCCACACAGTCGTTCTGACAGACTGTAATACGCTACAGGAAGTGTAGGGGGCGATATGGCTTCTACTGTTTCATTTAAAAAGCCTCTATAATGTTCATATGATCCACACAGTCACTCTGACAGACTGTAATACACTAATACAATAATTAAAAATCAAATTAAAAATAAAAAGTTAAATTAGGACAAAAAAAGTGCCGTTACAGTACAGAAAAGGCACCCAAACATGTTAATTAAAAGCACTTGTTGGCAGAAAGAGTTTTTTTGCTTGTCAAAACACCAAATAGCTTTATGAATTTTAATAAATGCAATTAAACGTAAAGTTTAACGTGGTTCCCGATTTCTCTAGGCATTGCATGGATTTGTTTAATTCCAGCTTTGCAGCCACTCATCACTCTGACGTTTGACTAGCTGTGACTATTATTATTATTATTATTATTATTATTATGGTAACACTTTATTTGGATGCTCCACTGTAGATGCTCAGTCTGTCTTTAGCTTACATTCAACTAAATATCTATTAAATGCAAGTGAACTTGGGGTTCTGTTTTTTAGATTCTGTTATCTAACCCTAAACCTGACCCTAACCTTAATGTTGTTGAAAATCAACTGAGTATCATCAGAAAGTATAGGGGACCATCCAAATAAAGTGTGACTATTGTTGTTATCATTATTATTAATTTATTCTTATTTATTTATAATTGTAATGATTGCAAATCAATAGTATGCTCTGTCCTGTATGAAGTATACAGTGCAAATCAATAAATATACAGGAAATATAATAACAGATCTGTTTCTTTTTCAGGACTCGAAAGGTTTTCAGCAGGAATGTCAGCAGACAGAGGATCTGACCAACGGACACTCCAAACACACACCTGTAAGAACAGCCTCTGACTCACAGAAGGTGTAAAGATACGTTTCCGAGGTCAAGATCTGGTCAGATTTTTGATATTTTATGTGTTTTTATTAGAGGTCTTGACTCTGATTATGTACACGTTTAACTTGGAACGTATTTATTATGGCTGCAACAAACGACTAATTTGATAGTCGAATAATCTATTATTCGGATTATGAATCACTACATTACCAAATAACTTTTATGTAGCTATTAGATTTATTTAAATTTAGCTTGAGGTTGTTTTAAATTTAGCTTGAGGTTGTTTTATGCATTTGCTAACAACAATAAAGATGAAAATCATTCAAGAATTCACTGTATTAATGAACTTTCCTGCCAATACAAAAGATAAAATAAAACCTCCAACATATTTTTCCTGTCAAAATTAATAACCAAGGATGTTCAAAGTAGCAACAATAAAATATGACAAACCTTAATCAGTTTTTCTTTAATCAAGTAAATAAAAAGTCAGTCTAAATTTAAATGTTAAATGTAAACAGTGCAGTCTGTGCTCTGTGTATTCTCCTGTCTGTCTGCTGCAAGTAATCACAGGTCTTTATTGAGACGGAGGAAAGTCAGCGTCTCCCGGTGCTCCTGTGAGAGTCTCGCTCTCCTCTGAGAGCAAATATCCACAACTGCAGAGAAGCTTTGATGGAGCGGAGGGGAAAGTGGCGAATGTTTGTGGCAAACTTCTACATGAACAATTAGATTTGAACGATTTTGTGTAAACACTGAATTTGAACGCACCGTTGGCCTCAGCGTTAAGGCGACGATGCAGTGTTTAAAACTGTAAATGTTATCTGGAAAGTGAACAGCGTCGCTGTGAATACCAGTTACTTGCTTCTCTGTTCCAACTCCATCAACGATACCAAAGAGCAGCGTTTCCAAATAGAAGATGTTGCAGCTCAGCTCAGAACATGAAGTAGGATGGAATTTAACATTAATATTAGCGAACTAACTACTACAGCTATCGCCGCGTCCCAAACCACACACTTCTGTTCTTCACACACTACACTAATGAGTGCACTTCTACTGGTATATGTGCTATTTTTACACACTATTTAGTGTGCTAGTATGCGATTTGGGACGTGGCGCATCTTACCGAGATTAATCTTCTTCATCCAGTGAGCCGCCGAGTTTCCTCTTCAGATGCTCCAGCATGGAGGATGAGCTCCATGCCAGCTAAGGTCGGCTTTACAAACAGCACAACTGACGACCTTTTTTCTGAGTTTAGCTCCCGCACTGCTCAGGATTGTGTTCTTGAGGCTGCCATTGCGCCGTTGTTAACCCTCCAGTGAGTGGTAATGTCAAAACGTTCCTACAGGAGCACCTGCCAACCTGTTACACACGTTTTGGGCCTTAACAAAGCTGAAGAGGTTCTACTTGGCTGTTTTTACTTCATTAACTGGACCTTCGAATGCAACATGAACCTCCTGCCCATTGCTTAGATTATTTGGTGTCCTGGCAGAATCCCTCTTCTCCAAGCCCCGGGTAGCTGATGCCGTTGTCTTTGCCCTCCTCTTAGCTAAGAGAAGGATCCTTCTGGCGTGGAAATCCACCACCCCACCCTCACACGCTCTATGGCTGACTGATGTCATGTTTTTCCTGGACTTGGAAAAGGTTAAATTTAGCCTGAGAGGTACTGCAGACATATTTGACCGGATCTGGCAACCATTCATTTTCTGTTTTAAACGTTTGTCTAATTTAAATACAGGTTTGTCTAATTTAAATACAGGTTTGTCTAATTTAAATACAGATTAAAGGACGTCCTTATCTTTTTATCTTTTTTATTAGCTTATTTTTAGTTCTTGTGGAAAGTTTTATTTATTTGCTTTTTATTTGTCCCTCATTGTTTATCCTTCATTTACTTATTTTACTAATTTGTTTTAAGTTGGGGAGGCAGGCTGAGACTGTGGGTGGGGTGGGTTTCTGGGGTGGGTGGGTTTCAGGGGTGGGTTTCAGGGTTGGGTGGGTTTCAGTGTTGGGTGGGTTTCAGTGTTGGGTGGGCAGGGTGGGCTTCAGGGTTGGGTGGGCAGGGTGGGCTTCAGGGTTGGGGGGGGATTTAGGGATCCAGAAGATGGAGGGGGGCTAGATGGTTTATAAGGTATTGAGGAACTGACACTGTTATAATTGTAACTGTTTTTCAAGCAGAGGAATAAAAAGGAAAAAAAAAGTTCCTGCTGAGCGCGAGAAAGACACGTAATGACGTCACCAACTAATCGACCACTAAATTAGTTGCCGACTAATGTGGTCGTCAGTTTTAGTCGATTAAGTCGAATAATCGTTGCGCTCCTAGTATTTATACACACGAGTTCTTTCCCTCCTCGCTTCGCTGTTCCTCTCTGTGCCGTAGCACCGGTGGCTGAGCCCTCTCTGTTCCTCTGACTGCTGGCTGACGCGCCCGTTCTCTGTGTAATTCACCTTCGCGGTGTTACGGAGAGAGAAAGGCTGTTAGAGTTCCTGTTAAAGCTGAGTTCAAAACTGGGAATCAAACCAGTCAACTAACTCTGTAGTGTTTGTACCTCTGTTAACTCTGACTGTGGCTGTTTTATAAGATCACTATTTTGCGTGTTACTCTACTCAAACTAATCCTTTGTTTTGAAATAAATTAAATTTTTTTCTGCACATAAAATATGAAAAGCTTATCAAATCTCACCCTCAGAATCAATAATTGGCTCTAGAATTGGTCTAAATCAGTCGTTTTTATGATAAATGCAGTTGCTCCTTGTTCCAGCAGTGCTGATGATGGAGAATGTTTAAAAATATATCTATATATTTATTTATTTATTACGGAGAGAGAAAGGCTGTTAGATTTCCTACTAAAGCTGAGTTCTGGTTCTGCAGGTGCTGAATGGACTGCCTCCAGGTAACGGCATCAAGGAGAACGGCAGCGTCAATGGCAGCTCTTATCTCAAATCCGTCCCGGTGAGTGAGTGAGCAAGCGAGCGAGCGAAAAGTGAGCTGTTAGATGTGTGATGGAGTTAAAGCGTTAGATCGAGATGTTTCTCGACTCACGGAGCTGAACGTGTTGCAGATCTCAGCTCTGAAGCAGAACGGCATCCTGCAGTCTCTGGCAGCAGGTGGAGATCAGACTAAAGCAGAAGGTAAAGTTCCTCCACTACATTTATAATCAGTGGCTTGTTTTTATTATTTTGATCATAATTTTTATTGTATTGTAAAGTTGTACTCATGTATGAGCTTCTGTTTATTTATGTGTGTATTTATTTTATTCTGTGAATTATAGTTGTAAATGCATAGATTTGTAAATTTAAGTTACAGCATCGTTCAAGTTTAACCTCTTCAACTCCTTGAGACCACCGGTGGTTCCAAAACGCACTTCGTCATATTCTTCATAACTTTCATATTTCATAAGCTACATTCTGAAGGTGGGGGTCGTATGAGAGCTGTAACTGTCTTCTCTCCCGTCAAATAGATGGTGATGTAATTTTAAACTTTAAATTTTAATAAAAGAAGCTGAACTCACTATTTTGTTTTCTACTGAAAGTCGACCCATTTTTTTACTCAAATCTGAGCTATAAACGATAAACAGATGGCGTCTCTTCAGTGATCTGCTCTGTAAAGATTATTTTTATAAAATAATACGAAGAGCATCTAAGATTTTTGGCTTTCAGCTGTAAATTGTAAGCATAGAGCAATATGTGTAGATCATAAAACACATGTTCTGTTCATTTGAAGGGAGCTTTAAAAAAAATAATAAATAAAATAAAAATTTACATTTATTTCATGCAGTTACTGAATAATTTGCCTTACGATTTGGTCACATAAATACAGATGGACAAACCAAAATATGCCCTGGAGAATAAGAGGTTAAACATTGTTCTGGTTTACTGAACATGTTGTTCACAGTGTGGGATTTGTGTAAAAAAAATGTGTTTACAGAAAAATCTAATTTTTATGTTTTTAAATCAAAACTGGGAATCAGATCAGTCATCTAACTCTGTAGTGTTTGCAGCTCCATTAACTCTGTCAGCATTGTGTAAGATCACTATTTTGCGTGTTACTCTACTCAAACTAATCAGTTGTTCTGAAATAAATTTACATTTTTTCTGCACATAAAATATGAAAAGCAAATCGAATCTCACCCTCAGAATCAATAACTGGCTCTAGAATTGGTCTAAATCAGTAGTTTTATGTTAAATGCAGTTGTTCACGGTGCTGATGATGGAGAATGTTTTTTTTAAAAAAAAACTTTCTTTCTTTATTTATTTAATTTAGCTTTTCCATTGTTATTTCATCCCTCTTTTGGGTTTTCCTCTCCATCAAGTAGCTTCTGCTGCTCTCCAGGCTGCCATTGTTAATAAGAATGTTTGTTTTCTTGCGACTCGCCTGGTGAAATAAAATTTAAATAGCAAAGAAGTAACAAAATGAGTAAAGTTGACTCTGAAAAGTCTGGATGTAACTCTGCAGACGGAGTTTTACTTAAAGCACAACGTTAAAAATGATGCAGGCCTCCGACTCACACGGGAAAAAAAAAGTTTTCTTGGCAGGTGAGGATAAAATCAACCTTATCAAAATCAAAAATATTACTCATTTTGATTTTTTACCTCATTTTTTGACGTTTCGCTTGTTTTAAGTCACTTTTTCAAGTGAAATGATCTCACTGTGTTGGCAGGTAATGTTGCTTGTTGTAAGAAATATAGTTATATGCCAAAGTTTGGGCTCCCTGGTCAGTTTCCACATTGTGTTGATTTTCTAAGTGAACATAAATCATGAATAAGTCAATGTAAAATATGACCTGAAAAGTTATTCCACATTTTATATTTAATGTATTTTATGGATGTGAAATTAAAATTGAGCACTAAACACTTGCTGCATTGAAGTTGCCCTGTAGAGGATGTTTTCACTTGTTTTCTCTCATCACACTTAAAAAAAGTTTCTTCAAGGGTTCTTTAGTAAAGAAAATGTTTCTATAAAGAATCACGAACATTCAAAGAACGCTTACCATGTTTAAAGGGTTCTTTTTGTTCTTCAGATTGAGGGAGAATTTGCTGGAGATGGGTTCTATATAGCACCAAAAAAAGCGTTCCTCTATTGTAAACAAGCCTGACATTGTAGCAACAGCAGAACCTTTTTTGGTGCTATATAGAATCATTTACAGCACATTCTCCATTGATCTAAAGAACGCTTTCACCATTCAATCATGCGAAGGGTTCTTTGAATGTTATAGAACCATATAGAACCATTTTCTTTGCTAAAGAACCCTCGAAGAACAACCTTTTTTAAGTGTATATAAAATCAAGAAAACACATAATTTGATATAATAAAGATATCATTTTTTTCCCTGTGTATATAAAGGGTTGTTATGCTGAATTGTAGCTGATTGTGCCTAAAAAGAACATTTACTTGATTAATTACATAATTACTTAATGAAATTCAGCTTATATTCTGTATCAGCAGGTTAAGGTCTGCACTTTGGACTTATTTCTTTGTTCTGACCTCAAACAAACGACACAAACATGCCCGTCACACAACGAAAACTTTCCATCGCGATTAATCCAGAATTAACTCGTCCTCTTGTCTTACAAACCTGAATATGGTATGGATGGGAAGTTTACTGTGCGTTTCAATGAGCTGAGAGTCAGAAATCACAGCCTGCTTGTGTTGTCATTAGTGAATGTGGTGATTCCTGGTCATTGACTGTGACCCCTCGCCGTTTGTGTGTGTGCTCAGAGGTGAACTCGGAGCTGGAGCGCGCGCAGCAGGAGTGGGACGCCCTGGAGAGCATCCAACCAGGTGAGACCAGTCACCTCACCCCGTCTCCATAGCAACAGCATCCCGCGGGCCGGATGCGGGCCGCATTACATCAGCGTGACTCGGCACGCGCCTCCACCCCGGAGAGAGAGCATTACCTCATCGGAGGAAACGGATACTGTTGGAAAAGTGTGCACGGGCACGTTCTGCTCTCCCAGCCTCGCCTTCGCTATTCTTCGTTTTCAGTTTCCCTCGTTCACATCTTTTTTTGGTTTACCTGTTGCAGAAGCATAAATACCTGCTAATTATGAGCCAAAATTGTCAGTCGCACTACCTCCAGGCTCTTGTTGCCATAGAAACAGCCAGGGCTGTACGGATATTTCGGCAAACGTTAGTGCCTGGGCTGTATCTGTGGCCCCATTGTTTAGAGGCTGTTCCTTAAACCAGCTGCCAGAGTCAATCAATGAAATTCGGCTTTTGGCAAACTTGGCCTCGGCTTTTAAAAATGGCTGTTTTTAATTCAACATTTGCAAAAGTGAACTATTTAAGAAGGAAGAGGAGAAAAAATCAAACATTTGATAAAAATAAATGAAAAAGTAAGTCAGTCCATCCAACTGCTGTGCAGAATTTGCTGTAAGGGTGTGACGATTTCAGTACAGTACTGAAAAATCGGAAATAGTTACTGTATATCAGAAGTCTTTCATGGACTAGTTCAGGGGGTCGGCACCCCAGCAAAACTCAAACCACCTTGTGAGCCACAACATTTTATGCCCATTTTACCGTCTTCGCTGTCACTACGTCTCAGTATGTGCTGATTTACTAGCATAGGATATAAAATATAATATATAGACGAAAACACAGACTTACTTTGCTCTGCTTTAAGCTTTAGCTCAGCTATAGCCGCTTTTCTCACATCTCTGGTAGGAAACTTTTCCTCGAAAGTAGAACAGTTTCTTGTAAAATGTCTCTAATGTTCTAATTTTTATGAGGCAGAAGTTGCTTCTCATTTGCCGGCTACTTGTTTGAATTTTTGAAAATTTGATTGAGAAGCTGGCGAATGAGAAGCGACTTCAGCCTCGCTACTTTGTGTGACAGTTTCTCGTTGCAGATTAAACGTATCAGGAAACCAGCTGGAGTGATTATAAACTCTAATAAGTCCATCCGTCTCTAAATGATCAATGTTCATCTTAAATCTCTCTCTTTGCCGTTTCGTTAGCTGCTAGCTAGGCGAGACTGTTGTCTGTGTTGCTATGGTGACCAGCAGTCTGCGCTGATCTTCAGGGTTAAAGGGTGAATTAGCAGTTCTACATTAACTCCAGAGTTTGAGACCATTTATAGTTAAACGGTGTTGAACGATCAGCAGAGCTTTATTTTACTGTAAAGGAGGATTATTTTATTTTTACCTAATAATCTGATTCTGCTGTGGAGCCGCAACAGGGCAGTGAAAGAGCCGCATGTTGCCGACCCCTGGGCTAGCCGTTTGGGTATGTCTTATGTAGTTTTGCAGTGTTTATAACTCAGTTGCATTATTTTATATCTTTTTCTGAGCCAAAAATGTCTGGGTGGTATATAGTTCATCTCAACAGTCACAAATTTTAAACACAAAAAACAAAAATTAAATCAACCTCAGAATGAAAAATTGTGTTGAACCTGTAAATATGTGTATTTTTACACCCCTATAATTCAGTTACTGTACACTGGTTACTGTTTACAGGCTCTATAATTGGTCTAGATCTGTCGTTTTTATGATTAATGCAGTTGTTCAGTGCTGTTTATACCCATCGTGTACTGTATTGTATGTTTTGAGCACAAAAATGATGAAGTTGATTGATGATGGTGTTTCCTCTGCAGTTCTGGTGGAAGATCTCACTCCCTCCGCTCTGATCTCCTTCAACGAGGCTCTGCAGCACTTTCAGACCACAGACCTCGGCGACCTGCTGGTAAGTTATCAAGATATCGGCCTTTGCAATACTGATGTTGCCGAAGGCTGCAATATGCAAATGAGCTGTCTGTGCACTGTGAGCGTTCTGACCAATCACAGCGCTACAGGATTCGCACAATCCATCAGTGCTTTCAGAGCAAAATTGAGGCTTTACAGAAAATATAAACACATTGCTGACTTTCAGTGTAGGTTAATGTAACAACATTGTCATTTTCGAGTAGTTCTGTCGGTCCACTTTTCATAAAATGCAGCTGGCATTTTCAGAATTAGTGAAAATGTGTTCTGATGGGGCTGGAATGTAAATTATTTTGTCAAATCTGTTTTCCAGGATAGATTATTTTGGTGAAATCCAATCTGTGTCTAGTGGTGGACGAAGTACACAAATCATGTACTTGAGTTAAAGTAGAGATACCCTAAGGTAAAATATTACTCCAGTAAAAGTAGAAGTTCCTCCTTTTAGACCTCCACTTGAGTAAAAGTACTGAAGTATTTGCCTTCAAATGTACTTAAGTATTGAAAGTAAAAGTACTAAAAGATTAATTATGGCTCTGATGTCCTATTATCATTTTGTAACAAGACTCGCTTCATTAACTCATTTTAGGTAAAATACTCCAGTGTCTCTCTTGGTAAACCAGTCTTTTAATAGAAGGTCATTAATTAGTGACGCTGATGTTTATTAAAATGATCATAAGCACAAAACACTGAAGGCAAACAGTTTCCATCAGGTAGAACTGAGTGGCTCTGAAATCACTTTTTACACACAAGCAAAGTTTCAGTTTAAGATTTATTTAAACTTAGTTACAAGTTTAAGATTAATAAAAACTTTAAACTCAGGTTCACAAATGAGTTTCCTTTACTAAACTGCGTCTGTAGGTCTCTGTTCATAAACATAAACTAGCCTAAACAAATTTACTATAAAATGAAATGTTTGTATAAATTCAGAAAAAAGACACGTCAGTCACAACTGCATATGTGTACATATTTCTATATTGTGGTCTGTTTACCCACAAAGTTGAGACCCATATGTCATCTTTTCACTAATTCTTTGATGTGTGATTGTCAGTCAGTGTGTCCATTAACCCCGTCCTGCTTTACCTGCTAAAGTGACCTAAGTATAGCGTGGATATGCTTGCGCTGGGTTGGTATGACCAACAGGTCAAAACAAGCTCAAAACAAAGTGACCGCTGTGCCCTGATTGGTGTTTTTGCTTTGCGCTTCTTTCGTTTTGACATGTTACGTTTTTATACACACAGAAACCAAAAGGAAGGACAGATTTCTCATAATGTAGTGGAGTAAAAAGTGAGATATTTGACTTTGAAATGTAGTGGAGTCAAAGTAGAAAGTCGCCCAAAATGGAAAAACTTCAGTAAAGTACAGATACAGGAAAAACTACTTAAGTACAGAAACACATTACATTTACTTCATTACTGTCCACCACTGTCTGTATCACAGCAGTGGCGTGTAGCTGTATAACCGCAGTGTGTTTTTTGTCAGTATTGTGCAGCTGTAAGTGATTAATGTGTACAATGTGAGGAAATGTGGTGTTCTTCCAGTCTTCTGTGCTTTATGATGTGAGTGATCTCGCCAACAGAGAAACATTCAGCCAACCATTCGCAGAACGGGATTGGCTGCCATCACTCACTTCCTGTTTGGCCCTCCGCGGCTGCATAAAGAGCTGGTGGAGGAGAGGGACCTGGTGTTCGCCATCGCTCAGTGTGAGTTCGACCAGCGTCCACTCATAATGAGCCTACAGCCATGGACACGTTCATCTCACTGCTAAGACTGTTCATAGAGCTTCATAGACTCATTCATAGTAGATGCTGAATGATTTATAGAGGTTACTGAATAATTAGTAGTAGATAAAGATTATTCATAGTGGTTGCTTTATAATTAATAGTATTTGATGAATAATTTATAGTAAATACTGAATAAATTATAGTAGTTGCTGAATAATTAATAGTCATAACTGAAAAATTCATAGTAGATGCTGAATAATCTTAAAAAGTAATAACTGAAAAATTCATAGTAGTGAATATTTCATAGCGGTTGCTGAATAATTAATAGTAGTTAATGAATAATTGGTTAAATACTGAATGATTTATTGTAGTTACCGAATTATTAATAGTAATAACTGAATAATTCGTAGTTGATAATGAATAATTCATAGTGGTTACTGAATAATTTGTAGTAGATACAGAATTATTCATAGTGGTTGCTTTATAATTAATAGTAGTTAATGAATAATTGATAGTAAATGCAGAATAAATTACAGTAGTTGCTGAATAATTAATAGTCATAACTGAAAAATTCATAGTAGATGCTGAATAATCTTAAAAAGTAATAACTGAATAATTCATAGTAGATGCTGAATAATTCATAATAGTAAATATTTCATAGTGGTCACTGAATAATAGTAGTTAATGAATAATTCATTAGTAGCTACTGAATAATTTATAGCAGTTCCCAAATAATTCCACATTGTACTAAATAATAAGTCTAAATACTAATAACTGAATAATTAGCCTGCAGTTCCTAGTCTGTATGTAAACAGTGTTCTCTGTGTTCAGGTTCTCTGGATAACAGTCAGCCGGTGCACATGCGTGTGCTCCAGACCATCTACAGGAAACTCACCTGCACCCGGACAGACTGTCCCCGCTACGGTCCGCACTGGGAGAACGTCGGCTTCCAGGGTAAGGGTGGCGAACTATACAGGCATTTTTAATAACAACAACAACAATAAGCTTATAGTATAAAGTAATAAATAATTATTAAACTCTTATTCTCCAGGGTGTATTTTGGTTTGTCCATCTGAATTTACATGACCAAATCGTAGGCAAATTATTCAGTAACTGCATGAAATATTTATTTATTTTTTAAAGTTCCCCTCAAATTAACAGAACGTGTTTTATGATACACATATTGCTATATGCTTACAATTTACAGCTGAAAGCCAAAAATCTTAGACGCTCTTTGTATTTTTTATAAAAATAATGTTTGCAGAGCAGATCACTGAAGAGACGCCATCTGTTTATAGTTTATAGCCCAGATTTGTGGAAAAATGGGTCGACTTTCAGTAGAAAAAAACTTGTAATTTTAAAGCCTTATAATAAAAGAAGCTGAACTTACATCTCCCATCTATTTGACTGGAAAGAAGACAGTTACAGCTCTCATACGACCCCCACCTTTAGAATGTAGCTTATGAAATATGAAAGTTATGAAGAATATGACGAAGTGAATTTTGGAACCACCGGTGGTCTCAAAAAGAGGTTTTAAGATTACTTTATGTCCTGGTCATATTACAATCACTGTTGTTGTTATTATTACAGTATAATAAGCTGGATTGTGTATTATGTGATCAGTGCATATTATTTATTTAATGGAAAATGTTTTTATAGTAGACTTAAGTCGATTGATGGTGATAGTATCTTGAATCTGCAAGAGATTTTATCTGTCACAGTTGCTAATTCAAGTTTACAATGTAAATGTCAGAAAATACATTGTCTGCAACTTTAAAATGGACAGAACTGACCATATTAGTCCTGCAGTCTGTTCTTCGGTGTACGTGGTCGATAGTTTATTGCGTACAATGTCACAAGACTGTTATGGTCATTTCTACTACAACTACTACTACAATTATAACTGAAAAAAGTCAGCGGAGTTGGGTTGTGTATTAATGTAGTGAAAACAAGAAAAGTCGGTCCCGCTTCATATTAAGTGTCTCTAATAACTGTGTAGTTACATGTGAACAACATATGCAACAACAATGTAACTACTAATGATTTAGTCACTGTTACAGATGGATTACAGAAGTACACCTTATGTAATTATACATGCGTATCAACTTTGGTTTTTCCTCATGTAATTACACAAGTGTATCTTAATAGTTGTAACAGCCTAATCTTTCTCATGTAATTACACAAGGGTAATAACAAAAATGTAATTACATTTGTTATTAGACTGGAACAGCAGTTTTTTTTCAGAAGTCTTTTCCAGCAGTGAAAGGAAGTGTGTAATAACTTACATTAAGACATTACTGACACTGTATCTGCCAGCTTTCCTATCGTTTAGCTAGCATTTATGTTGCTAATGCTGTGACACTGTAACCATTAATTAAATGTGTTGCATTTCCCCAAAGCAGTGTTTCTATTACCACTACGTTATTACACAGTACCTACATAACAACTACACAGGAACTGTCCACTTACTTTACAGTGTAACTTTAACACTACAGGAAAGTTCTTGTGTAGAAGATACACTTGTGTAATGACATTAAGCAAAACTGAAGTTGATACACGTGTGTAATTACATAGGCTGTACTTCTGTAATGTGGACTAAATCATCAGTAGTGTTGTTGCAAATGTTATTCATGTGTAACTACGTAGTTATTAGCGACACTTAATATAAAGTGGGACCGAAAAGTCTCATTTGATGACGCGTGTCGGACGTCTGTAGGTACAGATCCTGCTACTGATCTGAGAGGGACGGGGTTCTTGGGCCTGATGCACGCTCTCTACCTGGTTATGGATCCAGAGACTCTACCGCTCGCCAGAGACATCTACAAACTCTCTCAGCATCCAGTGCAGGTAAAGCAGCGGTTACGCTACACCACTTTACACCTGTAGTGAGTTATCCCTGATTCTCAGTCAGGCTGAGGTTGGCTTTAGTCTGCAGGTTTTAGGGCCGTCCGGAGCAGAAAATCGGGGAGTGTTTGAGGGGCACAGGCTCAGATTTGTTACCTCCCAATTGAAGTTAGGACCAGTCAGAGTATCACACGTTTGATTTTTTTCTCTCGTCTCTGGTCAGTGAGTCAGTCTGAATAGATCCGACCAACAGCCAATGGAAACTGAGAGGGTAAGAAGTAAATACAGCAGACAAATGCTAAACAGATGTTCACATGTATAGCAAAGCTTTTTAATACAGCTGTTCACTAACTGGGGGGCTGCAGGAGGGGCACTCAGGGGGCTGCAGAAAAATTTCAGATATTCAGTCTACTTGGATGTGAGCACATTAAGTGCATGTACACCTAAAACTCTTAAATGGACCACTAAATTTTAGACATTGTATCTCTACTTAGGTGTACATTTAAACTTTAAAAACTGTTAAAACAATGAAAAAAGATTTTTTTCCATTGTTTTTAATGTAACCTTTACTTAACTAGGCAAGCCATTAAGAACAAATTCTTATTTACAGTGACAGCCTGGAAAGCACTCCTGGTCAAATGACATGTTTGTGTTGATTTTCTAAGTGAAAATAAGCTGCACGTCCTCTACAGAGGAAAAACCACTTCTGCACATTTTAATACAATTTACTGTTTATTTACTGAGTGTAACATATTTGGGAAAAGACAAAAACATAATGTGGCCTGTGCAAAAGTGTATTTTTGTATTTTAAGTTCAATTTTCACAGTGTGTTATATTAAATAAATAGAAATTGTGCAGTAAAAATTGCAGAAAAATGCCGTACTGGCAGTTCTCTGGAGAGGGTGTGTAAATTTGTTTTACTTAGAAAATCAACAGAAGATGGAATTAGACCAGGGGTGCCCAGACCTCTGCATGCCACTGGATATTGACCACCCATTTCTTCATTTCCTGAGCAGTGAATCTAACGAGCAGCTCTGTGTTCTGTAATTCTTCCAGAATTTTCCGTTCTGTGTGATGTCCATCAATATGACCCGCATCGCCCTGCATGCACTCAGGGAGGAGGTTCTGTCAAAGTGAGCACACGTTTCTTCATTTAACCAAACTATCAGATTTGGTTCGTCTGTCTTATGACTGCGTAAATGAGCTGAACACCAATAACATCAACCAAAATAATGTAGAATTCAGTTCATTTAACCTGGGAATGAAAAAAGAGGGCAAATAACAGAATCATATTGTTTTAAAAGTAAAAGATTATCTGACTTAGTGGTGTTTTTTTTATACATTTTCTGTATTACAATTTAAACAGTTTTGCCTATTAAAGTTGAAATGATCTGTTGGATTATCAAAATACTTCAATTCTTAGAATGAAACTCTGTATTGTGCAAAAGTTAAAGAGCACCTTTCATTTATTTTGTTTCCAGTCAAAACAGCCATTAGATAGATCACTTTGTTAATCCCAGAGAGAAAGTCGTCTAGTCAACCCCATTCCCAAAAAAGTTGGGACACTGTGAAAAATGTAAATAAAAACAAAATGTAATGATGTGCAAATCATTTAAACCCTGTATTTCATTGAAAATGCTTCTAAGACAACTTAAGTGTTACTGCAGTAACACTGACGTGGTGGTGGTGTGTTAGTGTGTGTTGTGCTGGTCTGAGTGGATCAGACATAGCAGTGCTGCTGGAGTCTTTAAACACCTCAGTGTCGCTGCTGGACTGAGAATAGTCCACCAACCAAAAATATCCAGCCAACAGCGTCCTGTGGGCAGCGTCCTGTGACCACTGATGAAGGACTAGAGGATGACCAACACAAACTGTGCAGCAGCAGATGAGCTATCGTCTCTGACTTTACATCTACAAGGTGGACCGACAAGGTAGGAGTGTCTAATAGAGTGGACAGTGAGTGGACACAGTGTTTAAAACCTCCAGCAGCACTGCTGTGTCTGATCCACTCAGACCAGCACAACACACACTAACACACCACCACCACGTCAGTGTTACTGCAGTGCTGAGAATGATCCACCAACCAAATAGTACCTGCTCTGTGAGGGTCCATGGGGGTCCTGACCACTGAAGAACAGGGTAAAAAGGGGCTAACAAAGTATCAGAGAAACAGATGGACTACAGTCTGTAACTGTAGAACTACAAAGTGCACCTATATAGTAAGTGGAGCTGATAAAATGGACAATGAGCATAGAAACAAGGAGGTGGTCAGAACGTTATGCCTGATATGTTGTAGTGTTTGGTGTTTCCACCGTTTCTCTTCTTTTTATACCTCTAAAGTTCAGTCTTAGGAGTTGGTTGAATTTTCTGTAGTTCGTCCTAACTAAAGGGTGGTCTCTGGCTTCTGCACACTACTGTACTTAAATGAAACACAAACGTTTTGAATTTGACATGGTGGCAAATCCAAACAGACTGTTTACATCAACTCAGTGTTGTTGTGTATCTGTTTGTGTTCCTAACACATTTATGTTTCCATGGCAATAAAACGTGCCGTTGCTTTGTGGTGTTACACAGGGAGTGTAACCGCCGGCAGCAGGTGGTGGGGGTACTGAATGATTTTTACGTAGCAACGTTCCTGCATCTCTACCAGCTGTGGAAGAGCCAGAAGAAAACCATCTCGGACTCCGGCTACGTGCTCAAAGGTGAAGCTGCATAACGGGCTGAGTGACCCGTTTTACTTTGGTTTATTGTTTTAAAACAACCTAAAAATCCTGGGGAGTACGCTTCCTGGCCACTTTATCGGAAACCCCTTCCTTGTAGCTTCACCCATAGCTCAGCTACAGATGTGTGGTTTGAGCTGGCCATCCTCCAGTCCTTCATCAGTGGTCAGTTTTTGACCACAGAGCTGCTCATGGTTGGATATATTTGGATGGTGGTCCCCTTTCAACCTAGCAGTGATACCGAAGTGTGTAAAAGCCACAGCAACACTGCTGGGTGTGACACATTTATGCCAGACACCACACACAAGTCAGTGTCACTGCTGTGCTGAGAATGGACCACCACCCACATAATATCTGGACAACAGTGGTTCTGTGGTCAGAAACTGTATGAATACATAGTGGAGCTGTGTGATACGGTGCAAAACTCAGATCCCCTTCATATGTTAGACACGCCTCCAAAGTTCAGTCTTAGAAGCTGGTTGATCATTTTGTGAAGTAATCAAACACATTCAGTGCTGTTGAGGTCTGGACTCTGGGGTGGTCAGTCCATCGTTCAGCTTCTTTGTTTGATGTGTCCGTCTCCTTTTCTCAGTGAGGTTCTTCTTGATCAGCTACACATCCTTTCAGACCCACAGCACTGAGTCGTCTTCTCACAGTGGAAGGATGGACAGAAACACCTGTGGATGTTTTCAGATCTGAAGCAGCTTGATTTTCTCCTCTCTCTCAGAGATGAAAGCTTTAAGTGCTGTTTGTCTGATGGGGGCTACCAGGTCTTCCAGGTGGTTGTTAGGAGGCCGGTATTCTCTGTAGCTAATCATCAACTCCAGTTTTCAGAAATCCAGTTTTTTTCGTTTTACTTTCTTGTTATGCAAGTGGATCATCTTACATCAGGAAAATCTCTTGAAAATTCAGTAACTTTGACTGAATTTGAAGAAATTAAGGGAGGCTATTGACTTTTGTACAGTGGAAGCACAGGTAGGTGTTTCTAATAAAATGGCCAGTTAGTGGACATACAAGGTGGGTGTTTCTGATAAAATGGCCAGTTTGTAGACATACAAGGTGGGTGTTTCTGATAAAATGGCCAGTTTGTAGACATACAAGGTGGGTGTTTCTGATAAAATGGCCAGTTAGTAGACATACAAGGTGGGTGTTTCTAATAAAGTGGCCAGTTATTGGATGTTCAAGGTAGGCGTTTCTAATAAAGTGGCCAGTTAGTAGATGTTCAAGGTAGGTGTTTCTAATAAAGTGGCCAGTTATTGGATGTACAAGGTAGGTGTTTCTAATAGTGTCCAGTTAGTAGACATACAAGGTGGGTGTTTCTGATAAAATGGCCAGTTAGTAGACATACAAGGTGGGTGTTTCTAATAAAGTGGCCAATTTGTAGAAGTACAAGGTAAGTGTTTCTAATACAGTGGCCACTTAGTGGATGTACAAGGTGGGTGTTTCTAATAAAATGGCCAGTTATTAGACGTACAAAGTGGGTGTTTCTAATAAAGTGGCCAGTCATTAGACGTACAAAGTGGGTGTTTCTAATAAAGTGGCCAGTGAGTTCACGGTAGGTGTTTGTAAAGGTGTTTTGTTCCGGCTGTGATCTTCCTCTGTTTCTGTCTCATGCAGAAGTGGAGCTCTATGCCAAAAAGAACCCCAAGCAGATCCTGAGACGCCTCGAGTCGTTCCTACAGGAACGGCGTGCAGGGATTGGCCACCGGACGTCACCTGACACACTGTCGCATAGCAACCCGTCTCCGGGCGACAGGGAGTCCCGAGTGAGCAGCCAGGGGGGGAAGGAGGGGAAAGAAATGAACTTTACTGGAGTGTGTGAACTTCCTCCAGAGATGGAGGGAGAGGCCAGACTTATCTGAGAGAGAGAGAGAGAGAAAGAGAGGCAGAGAGACACAGAGAGAGGCAGAGAGAGGTAGTTTAGCCAGTAACATTTACCCCGTTAGCACGAATGTAGTGTGGCTGATGGTCTATGAAGTTTCACATTAGAGCTGTGCGGCTAATGTAGATAACTGGCAGCATCCAAACTGCTTAAATTACCATGTGTCCATATTTGAGTCCTTGTTTATAGATAACAGTGCCACACAATCAAGTCTGTTAGTGATACTGAGTGGCTCCTCATGGTTTCAAGCAAGTATGTTATAATTAAGACACGATGCTCGTTGCTAATTGGTGGGCATTAGCTTCTTGTACTTGTTAGCCACTTTAGCCTTGTAGCTCCAGTAAAACTAAAGAAGGAAACTTTCTTGGCTGATCAGCTACGTTTGGGTAAAAGGATGTAAATTAGATTTTTAGCCAAACTGTTGCTTTAATAAGCCTTTCCCAAAACTTAGACCAGGAAAAAAACACTAAAATACTTCAGGAACAGACAGAATGTGTGATTTCTACAGTCTGACTGTCTCTCTCTCTCTCTCTTCACTCCTTCATTTCCCACTTCAGACAGGAAGACACGCGTGAAGCTCCAGCTGTAGTATTAGAAACCCTGACAACTGTCTGTGATCAGTTTACCGAGGTACCCAACGGCTTCTATACGCTCTCTTTGAAAAAGGCCAGTCTTTGTAGTTGCCAAATGTTTGAGTTCGTTTCGTAATCTCTGAGATTGTAACAGCGGTCACTTTATGTTAGTGGGCTGAACTGAGGTCAAAATAGGAGGAAAGCTTGTTGGACAGAACGTGGGATTTGTAGCTTTGGCACCAGGAGTGACGAGCACCTTGCCCTTGAATATAAATAGATAGTAATGATGATGGTGATGACGAAGGAATGTCTGCAGGTCATGGTGACTCCTTGGTTTAACCCGTTGATACTTTATCTGAAAATTTAGACATTTTTCAAATACTGACTGTGCGAAAGTTTTAGGCGTCTCAGTAAGATTTTAAAAGCTGGTTATCTGGGCGGTACGAGTTTATCTGCTCAGAAAAGCACTAATATTACAATAAATATGAACAATGTAAATACAATATGTCGTTATTTCATGTATGTGAGTGCGTTTGTTGTTTAATCATTTCCAAACTCGTCCTCGAGGCGCTGTTATTAGTGGTTTAGTGGTTAATCAGTACTTCATTATGTTATTATGGAAGTTATGGAATTTAATAATTCCATGTGATGGCTGGAGGCGCCCAGAAGAAATCTGCAATCTTTCTTCTTCAAACTAGCTCACAGGATATCAACTCCTTTTTGAAAACAAGACATTGTCTTTACTTTTTACTGTATTTATGTTTGTTTGCATTTATTGTAATGATATATGGTGATTCGTACAAGTAAAAAACACACGTATTGCCAAGATAAAAGGTTTTAAAAAATGCTTGGGCCCCTAAAGCTTTTGCACAGCTCTGTATATCAAACCACGAGGCCAGAAAGTGAGTCTATCACTTAACACAGTCCTTTGGTCTCATAACAGCACTAATTCTTTACAATACATAAGAATTTCCAGGTTTGACTGTTGGTGAAAGTATTAAAATGTAAACAGGACCTGTTAGATGATCATCCAGGGTGTAACTGTACACATTCGATGGCGTTTTTTCCTCTTGTTAAGTTTAGTTGGTGGTCATGAGTGGGTTAATGTGAATTAGCCTGTTGTGTGAGTGAGTGTGAATACAGATGCAGCCGTATGCAAAAGTTTGAGGCCAACTACAATCAGGTTTTGTTTTCTATGTGTAAATAAGTGAACACGTCCTCTACAGAGACACACTTCTGCACATTTTAGTGCACAATCACTGTTTATTTGCTGAATTTAACACACTTAAGACCTAAAATGTGTCACAAAAATGTGCTATAAAAAGTTATAGCATGTTTAGTGTGTTTTATTTTTCTCCCAACGTGTTAAATTCAGAAAATAGAAATAGAAAATGTGCAGGAAATTTCCATATTTGGGTTAGACCATCGACCCTCCTTCTGGAGATCCTGCAGAGTTTGGTTCCAACCTGCATCTGGTCCAGCCGATCAGGGACTTCTGAAGAGGTTAACTAGCTGGTCCGGTTGTGGTTGGAGCTGCAGTCCGCAGGATGGTGGGGTTGGTGACCACAGCCGTAGAGAATTTGGACTTATTTTCACCTAGAAAATCTCAAAACATATAATTTGATGAACCAGGATGGTTCAGACCTTTGCGTACGGCTGTACGAAAGCGTTTGTAGTCTTTGTAGTGTTTGAGTGGGAACGCTGGAACTCTGTCGGTGTAGACTTGGCTGTGTGTGCTCGCTTGACTCGACACCGTTTAGATAAGCTACAGGAGTCCAAAACAGGAAATAATCTTCCTCATCCGGACTCATTTGGTCCTTTCCGTAGGGCAGCTGTGCCAGATAAGACGAAATAACTCGGAGGCATTTTGATTAGGGGGTTTCTTTTCATGTCGTTTAGTTTACCAAAGAATCTCTTGACTTTAAAAGGAGATGAGAACGTTGGTAGGCGTGGCCAGGTGTGAGCGAGCTCAGTTTGGGACCGTTTTAATCCCCCAGGCTGACGACCGTTACCGCTGCTGCTTCTGTTTAGTGCTGATATCGTTCCCAGTTGTCCAGCATCTGTTTAGGGTTAGCGTCCTAATTAGGGGCTGCACGATATGAACTAAATACCATATTGTGATAAAATTGCCACATATTACAGTTGCAAAAAATAACGAATAGCATTATTTTGTTCAAAATGATTTACATTTATTGAGTTTATTAAACACCCACAGAACATCATCTGCAACTGTGATTGGTCAGGATGCTTACAGCACCCGGTATATATATATATATATATATATAGATTTGACTGATATTTCAACCTGATATTCGACAACATATTTACTGCACTCTGGATGTGCAAAGTGCTGGATAACTACACTAATGTATCTACATTTAATTCATTCACAGTTTACAGCTGCATGCAAAAGTGTGAACACTGGGTCATGTTTTGATTTTCTAAATGGAAATAAATCTACACTTAAATGTGGTGTTTTTCTGCAAATTTGAGTGCACAATTTAATATATAATGTGCAAATAAATATATAATTTGCTACGTTTTTCACAGGTTTTATTATTTCTTTCCCAGTATTAAAATTAAGCACATTAACGTGTAATTGTGCATTAAAATGTGCAGAAGTGTGTTCTCTGTAGAGGACGTGTTCACTTATTTTGGCTTGGCTAATCAGCACATCATTTGACTGGGGTGCCCAAACTTTTGCATACAGCCGTGTAACCCTGTAGAATTAAATGTTACATTTCTCTATAAGGTCAGTCCAGATGAGTTTAGCTGCAATTTGCACAGTTGATAAAGAAATAAGCAGAAAGATTCATGAAAAATATCAGATACGTGAAAATTAAGAGATCCGTTCATTCAAGTTCATTCAGTTACAAAATTGCAATATTGCAGTAATGAATAAAAAATGATATATTGTGCAGCCCTGGTCCAAATTGTGATTGGTTCTCTGCATTTCATGTAAAGTGTTTGGTGCTGAATGTATGCTGATGTAGGATGATCCAAAAAGAAATGTTTTGAAATGGAAATATCTCAGAACACAGGGTTTTATGCTTTGGGTGTTTGTGTAGTTTTATTCAGGTTGGAAGTTGGTTAGAAAATAGCATGATTTAAAAAAAATAAACAAAATTTAAACGAAAAAATATCACAGGAACCCGGAAGCATGACATGATTTTACCCCGAATTGATGTAGAAAATGCATAGCTAATTAGATGTGACGAGCAACAACATTGAAAGTCTTGGTTTATGTGGCAGGAAATATCCACACTTTATGTTAGATTAATACAAATAGTAGCTGAATGTTGTCACTTGAGTGTTGTCAGCTCTTACTTTAAGGTCCAGCGAAGGTGCTTGGACCCCTTGGATTGCAAAATTCTACTAAATTGTGCTGTAAATCTTAGAATTTTGGTGAAAATATTCCTTTGCCGTCAAACTCCACACTCAAATGTTGTCAGCATGTCAGGTAGCGCTAAAGATGTAGCATCGTTAATTTGTTTTTAATTTTGTTGTTCAAACAAAAGAAAGAAAAGCGAAATGTTAATCTTGGTACAGTTCTGTCTGTCCGTCTGAGTTTACCGAGTCTACAGTGGTGTTGTATGAGTTCAAAATGGAGCTTTTCTGTATGTGTTTCTTTGTTTGGATTAGTTTGTTTTTGGAAATGACACTTGGATTATAGATACTCAGTGGATGTACATTAGGAGTCCTGTCACCTTAGCCAGTTTATTTTTAGAGATTCAGAGTAGAATTTTATAAATTTGGAGGTATGTTGGAGAAGAAAAAGAGGAGTGGTTGTGGTAAAGGTGGTCTTGGTCAGCGCAGATCACCCTTTTCGTAGCTTTCAGCTGTTAAAATCACGTTTATTAGTTTGGGTTTGTTTTGGAGGGCAGGGTTAATAGCCCTGTTTCATTGTTCAGACACTATTCAATGAATTTAGAGGCGTAAACTGTCCAACATCTCCTTCAGGCTGCAGTCGCAGGTTGTGGACTTAACCCAGGTTAACACTAAGATTAGCAAACCTAGCACTTGTTTTAGTGTGTTGTGCCGAGAAGAGACGCTTTTCTACAGGCTTCATACAAACTGTAAACAGAAAAATAGTGCAGCATCTTTATTCATATATATATATATATATATATATAAAATGGAAAAAGTAAAATAAAACATACAACATAAAAAGGTGCCATTAGTTTTTACAGTTTTTGTGCATTGAAGCATTGAAGTGTGTAGAAATGTTATTATTATGTGACCAGGCAGGGACACACTGTACACACACACACACACACACACACACACACACACATATATATATATATGGATGTGTTTGTGTATCTCCATTTGTGTTTTTAATTTTTTAACATAATTTGAAATTGCCAGCTGCCCTTTACACTGTATCAAAATAAAATTTCATGATAAGTGGACCGATAAAAATGATCCAGAATTACATAGATGAAATAATTTCCCAATAATAATTTCCACTAAAAGTATATAAATGACCTAAAGTTACCTTTTTTGAGATATGAGGGTTTAATTCTGACAGTAACGAGATGATTTTGTGTGTGTGTGTGTGTGTGTGTGTGTGTGTGTGTGTGTGTGTGTGTGTCTGTGTGTCTGTGTGTGTGTGTGTGTGTGTGTGTGTGTGTGTGTGTGTGTGTGTGTCTGTCTCGCTGCTGTCGGAACAAAACCTCATATCTCTGTGTGTCGTTTTTTGTTTTTCAGTTTTTGACATAATTTGAAAATGCCTGTTTTCCTTTACATTGTGTGTAAATTTCATGATGAATGAACCAAAAGAAACGGCCCAAAACTACTTGGACAAATGGTTCTATTCACTTATTACATTCACTTACATTAAAAGTAAAGTATGTTTTTTGCTTCTCGTGTAAGAATATGGGAGATTTTGTTTCCGACAGCAGCTATATATATATATATATATATAGTTAAAACATTATAGTTAAAAGAAAAACAGAACAAACAAACAAACAAAAAATTTTATATATATATAAGCGTTCTTTACTTTCAATGTAAGCGATTTTATTCCAGGCATTTTCAGAGCACTTCTATTGGTCCAATCTTCATGAAATTTTCACAGGATACTCAAACGATGTAGAAAAGTAAAAACTGAAAATGGAGATGCTTGTTCTTCTTTGGACAGCGACAGTAAACATAACCGTTAGCCACTTTAGCAGGTTTGGCCTTCTTTTAAAGCACTACATCAACGTTATTTTGCACAATACGACTAGTGTTTGTTTTTCGGAGGAAAGGGTGCTCTGAGCGAGTGACCGGGGAACATAGAAGTGTGTAAGAGAAAGAGGAGATTATATTGATTGTAAAAGACTCGATGGCTGGGCATATTATGCATAACTCAAGCTGCAGACAAATCTCAGTTCTCGTAGGTCGTTATATGTGCCGAGGAAAGCCGTGAGTAGCACAATGAAGGGGTCTGGTCTGTTTCCTGCAGTAATCTACCTAGCTTGAGAATGTATATGTATGTATGTATGTATGTATGTACACTAAAAACAAAAAAGAGAAGCACTGCAGAACATTCACATCTATATATTTCTATAGCCACAGTTAGTGAGGATTATATAGACTTACACGCGCAAACAAACTTGCTGGATGACGTTTATAACAATCCTTCTGGTTTTTTCGATGTTCAGATGAATATATTATTGTGGCTTCTGGGTTTGGCCGTGCTACCGTGAAGTTTTTTTTCTTTTTGTTTCTTTACTTTTATGTCAGAAACGATTCACTAAGGCACAGTGGAGGATTTGTTTGGACCAATAATACGTGTTTCGTCCCTTTTGCCTTTAGGAAGAATCCGTTCCAGATGTGCGCTCGGATTTGGTCCCTTGAAATCAGCCAAACGGTGTCAGAAAAAAGAAATTCAGTCTTGCACTTCATTTAAAAGATGTTAAAAGATGTTTTATTTTTTGCCTGTATGGTCCCTCAGAGCATTTTATTGTTACCCTGATTGTAGAGGCCCTATTTTATAATGAGAATATATTTCAGAATATATGCGATTGTACAGTAATGTATTGTATGGAGAATAATAAATAAATGCAAACCGAAAAACTATTAAACGTTCCAGTCCTGTTTGTTTTCTATAGCGAACATTACATGTTGTCTTCAAACTAGAGTGTCACTTATTAGTTATTGCAGCTGCATGTTTGGAGTGTAATAACCCACTTTCACCACAAGAGGGAGACTGATGTCTACATGCTGTATGGGAACCATATGCTTAACAATAATCTCGTAAAATTAATTTTCTTCACACTTTATTTTACTCCTTGTTGTGTAGGACAGTGGCTGATGTCCTCCACATCAGTTTTGGGTCATTATTTTTTATTCTTTGACCAGAAAACTCACTTTTTGCGGTTGTTCTCAACCCAGAATCAGAACAACTTGAGCAGAAATACAAAAGCTGTTGCTCAAAAACGACTCAGAAGAAGTCAGAATAGCTGGAGTTTGTATGGGTTTTGTATAAATGCTAAAGCTGAACACTAAAGCACTTCAAGAGACCAACAGCAGAATGAAACCAACCGCCAAAAACCAGTTAGGAACCAAATGTGAGTGACTAAAGTGGAAATGAGGAAAAAGTACTTTACTCACTGCTTTGAAAACAGTACAAAGTACAAATCCATCCAAATGTTGCTTAAGTACATGGAACTCAGTAAAAGGACCCACTTACTACTATGGATGCAGGAAGATATCGGAATCATATCGGTATCAGTGGATAATAGCTTTAAAAATACCTCCGTATTGGACAGATGTTTAGATTAGGCTGATATTTCAAACTGATATTGGATGATTTATTAACTCCAGAGGAGCAGAATGTTTAGGTGATTCTGGATTAATGTAAAAATATCTGCACTTTTTTCATTAAACTGCATTTGCAGCCCTACAGAAGTACTGTGTAATGCTGTGTATCAGTATCGGCCGATATGTACGTGAAAAATATCGAATATCGGTCGACGGTTCTTATACGGATCGTTGTACCATGTTGGTTCAAAGTCACAGTTAAAAAAACACATTTCAGACTTTGAACTCGTTTGGACTTTAGACTAAAATCCTTTTGCTCTGAGTGACTCTGAACCTTAATCATGTTTATTTTATTGAACATTCAATTTTGTCACTACCAAAACAATCAGAACTCTACCCAAACTCACCAAATGTTTTAGTAGTGACTGTTTTGGCTCGTTTTGAGCTCAGAAACGCAGCAGTACGTGACCAGCAAACACAGCTTTGAACAGCTGCTCACACGGAAAATCATATTT